CTCAGAATACATACGACCTGAATGAACAGGATATGCTGATGACGCAAGGGCCGCATCGAAACATGATCACGTACACCAGGGCGAAGATAGGTGGGTCAGATTTCAGGACAAAAGCCCTGGACAGCAATGTGAGTAGCAACAATTCTTACTTCTTGCCATTTGTTAGTTCAGAGGATGTTGCTGCTGGGGATTTTTCAGTATGGGTTGGCCAATTTCAATCTTTTCTACAGGTTGTTCCACCATGGGAGTACACTGGACAGCCGGGATGTACAGTTCTCCACTTTGGGGTCGCAAAATGGTGTGCATCGCCTACACCGGCGTCCACCCCAGTCTCAGACCTCCCACTGATCATGCGTGACAAGTTCTTGTCTATGTCTGAAGAGAATGGATACAGGTTTGCGGCGTGGCCACTGAACTGTGTGGTGCCAACTAATGTGGCTGTTGTTGACTTATATGAACATTTTACACTTAGGCAGACTCGATACAAGAGGAGGATAGTTACTTGGGCAGACCTCCAAGCTGCGTTTCCAACAGACTGGCATTGGATTCCTGGGTATTGGGCAGTCAACGGCTTTCAGAACACCCTTGCCAGCAATTGAGAATGTGTTCTCTTAGCGTTGGGATTTGTTCTCATCGCCTGGATTTGCATCGAAATGCACTGCCACTGATAGGTCACGTTGTAAGTTACAACCTGTCACACCTAATCCAGGTTTACACCTGTAATGACAATCGCCTACAGGGATTCCCAACAATTGTTGTGTTCAGAGGAGGGGTCATGCTGTTGCACTCCTGGTAGCTTGCACACCTTTTCATCTAAATTGACAGCACCACTATGCACCCGCAGCAGTACACTAGGTCAGGCAGGAATCTCTGTGGTGGGGAGTGACACAGAACTGTGCTACCTACATCCCTAGAGTTGTAGAATGCTTGGCAAACCAAAGGCTCACGCAAGCCAACCATTGACGCACCCCGCTATGCCCAACCTCCCAGTGAGGTACGCCCAGTCCCGTCAGCCCATTGGGAAGTACTCAGGCTCACAACCCTTTCAGAACACCAGCATCCCTAGCATGAGGCTGGGTGCAGTAGCTACTACTGGTAGTCTTCCGGAATTCGTTGCAGAGTGCAACATATTTGTATATCTGACAGTGTGAGCTGCAAACGTGACATGGTATAGTGAATACCGGTGCATACGCACGTTGAGAAACAGCTCATTTACCACCAGCTCACATATACACATATGCAGTACATTGCAAGGTGCCACTGCATACCAACTGGCTGTTGCATCGATCAGGACTTTTCCGAACTGTCTTACCAAGTGTGCCACCCATGCTGTGTGCCTTAAGTTGTTGCAGGCTGAGCTATTGATGTGCCTTCTGCACGACGGGCCATGTTGCACAGCAGCACCTTGGATGTCGGGAGGGGCCTCGAGCGAACACGGAGCCAGCGCTGAAACTCAGCTGACACAGCCCCACCACGGTCTGTCATTCTTCGGAACATCCAGAATAATTGCTCACGCTCCAAGGTTCGGCAGGCGCTGCGATCCACAGCAGGGACACCAGTAAATACCCAAGGCATAGATCTACAAGGCCTGCGGAAGACTCTGGATCAAGAGCAAAGGCACTTTCACGAACAGTTGCTTCACGCTTCAGCAGGTATGCCCCCCTTGGCTGTCCCCAAATGCCGCACCGTGACCGAACATGCTCATAAACAGCCAATACTGCCCGACCCGCGTGGCCCCACGCAGTCAACGGCTTCAGCCGCCACCCTGCCGTGCTGACAAATGCAGGCAGTGGTCGCACATTACAGGGTATATCGACGCTGGGCGCCAGGCGATACGCGTGCCCGGCGATGGCCCACCATTGACCACGGCGACGTCAGCCCGGCCTCGGAGGTGACTTTGTCCCAGGGCATGCCGAGCCCACTTCAGCGCGCCTGTTCACTGCAGATCCTTCCAACGATGGACGCGCCACGATAGTGCCCCGACCTCGGGACAGGGTCAACAGCGGTTTCGGCGTCGCGTAGGAACGTGCTGAAAGTGTGTTTGAAACGTGTTGCAAGCGCATTCGCAACGTGTTGGGAGCATTTTCTCTTGTGCCCCAACGCATCATGTCCTTGTGTCCAGTGTACCACTTCAGTGGTGCATTCAAGCGGAATGCACAGAATGCAGTGGAGTGAATGTGTCTAACTCAGGATCAGGGCCATTGGGTGGGAACCTTGGGACGGACAGCAAAGTTTTGGGATTTGTGGGCACACTTGGATTTGTTTTGTGTGATGCTCAAGCCTAGATACGTATGGCTCGATGAGAAAGTGGTTGCCACAATTTTTAAAGTTATGGTTAGAAACGAAAAAGTCAGAAACAATATCTGAACACGGGTTCAATATGATTGAGCAATATGCAGCATTTTGCTGTGTTGTGAGCATGACGCGATCACGTCTGAAACACGCCCGTGACACAATACTTCTCTGTCAACACGTTCTCAGCTTATGATTATGGGCTGACAGCTAACAACACGTCACGAACACGTTACGAGCACAGCAAAAACACAATTGAATGCTGTGCAACACGTTTTCCTGAAGATGCTTGAATGTTGGAAACTTAAAGCACGATCCGAACACATTCTGAACTTGATTCAACGTAAGTGAACACGTTTTGTTGCTACGCTTTGGGGCTGAGAAATGTGAACACGGTGACAACACGTTTACATGCAGTACAACACGTTCCAACACGAACTCAGACCAAACACGTTCTTCAAAACGTGTTATTTGGCCCTTTTTTTCCTAGTGAAAGGGGAGCCGACTCTGGGTTGAGTCACCATCAGAGTGGCATTAAGTATTATGCGAAGCGAGGGCACATTTTACGTGGGTCGCCAATCGGGTCTTGTACTAGTGAGGTGATGGTCACCAAACTGTGTGAGTGTAATATATTGTCGTGTGGGGAACACCGGGGGGGTTGAAGGAGACCGGTAATGCAGAAAAGGGACGCCACCCCTCGAACCCGCCTGCCTTCGTAACCATCATTTTCAGAAATGTGGCGTCAGGAACGTCAGTCAGAAATGAGGTGTTGGGGGTAATGAAAGCAGCCAAGATCAAGGTGGCAGCCCCAATGGGCCGGAGTGCATGGAGACGGATGCAAGCGGAGGAAAATGTCTGAGAGACGGCCCTCTATATGTAGAGGACACTGCGTTTGATACATCAAACGCAATGTCATACGCGATAATGGGAATTTCCCCCCTTGCCGTCATAGCAGTGGTCTGCCCATCGTTTATCAAGGGCACACACTGTACTTGGCATAAGTTGCAGCGCAAGGAAGGTATTACTGGCTGCGCCAGGACGTAATTTTATTGAACGCCGAGCTGCACTTACACCGCCTAGATATTATGGTGTGCGGCAACGCAACCAACGGCCATAGGTCACATTTTGGGTGTGCGACCGTGACAAATTGCCCGGGGCGAAGGAGCAGCCTCAACTGTTGGACAAAGATCGAAAGATTCTGCCTCCCCGAGTGTTGATATTTCTCGTTTGCGTTCTCGAGCACAGTGTTTGATTTTTCTGGACCAATGTCCAAGCAAAGAGCGACTTTGGGCCTTTTCTAGCATGTTCCTTAATAAGCATTAAAGAACACGCTGGAAGCGGCCCAATGTCGCCCCAAAGTCGCTCAAAGTCAGAGCTCGGAACTCTGTTTTTGGACTTTCCAAAAAAAGTCCCAAATCTGTGAAAATGAACTTGTACATGGCGGCATGTACAAGTTCACGCTCATGAAGTGCTTCAATCACACCCCGAGCCATCGTGGGCGCCTCAGTTAGCGAAGACATTATGTCGATTTTGGTACGCTTACCGTCAAATTGACGCTGGGGGGGGAGGGGTCCAGACCTGTGATGCTGAGAGATTATGTAATTGCCACAATATCGACATGAGGGAAGGTGCCCCAAAGCGCCACTGATAAGTGGCAAAGAATCCGCGACATGTTCCTAAGGCTCCTGCAAGTGTTTGATCTACAAAGAAATCATTAGAATGGACCAAATTGCAGTCATTCAGGCCGCCCGCCTCACCTATAATGGCGTTTAGAATCCAATTTTTAAACTCGCTAAAATCAGCACAACTTTGATTGTTTTATTCCTCAAGAACACTAGGAAATTGAATACCACTGTTAGGTTATGTTGTTGAGTCATCCTGGCTTCGACATAAGGATTGACGCTTGAGGAGGGTGGGGTGTGTGTGTGGGGGGGTCTGAGCTTAACGCCAAATTGACGCTAAGCATACCAAAATCGACAGAGCGTCTTCCCTTACGGAATATGGCGTTTTGACTCTGATCTGTGCAGATGGTCGCCGCTGTAACTTGGCAAACGGGCCAATACGCTCTGATGCTGTTGTGAAGTGCCACAGAGCGATGGACAGGTTGAGAGTGACAGCTACCAACCACAGTCTACATACACATTGCGAGGCATCGAAATGAAACTATCAGCTACTACACCGTTGTCAATTGGCACTCGACAGCGGGTGAACGCCCCTTTCACCGTGCATCCAGTGATGCATGACCATGCAATCACGCGTCCGTGCCCATGCCACAGTGCGATCGTGGTGGCGGGGAACCCCACATCTCGCAAAGGCAACCGACCATCCACGCCTCCCCCGCACGTAAAATTAACCCCCCTTTGCGCATATGGCCGTACTTTATACGGGCTTTGCATCTGCGGCCACGGCCACATCCGCATCTGACTGGTAGACCAAACGTTCCACCAGATCACCATGCGAACGCACATAGATGCCCATCATTCGAGAGCATCTTCAACTACCCCAGCTGAACTTCCCACGCTCATTCAGCGCCTGATCCGCCTTTGTAGCTCGGCGGTGTGGCCCATTCCCTCACAGACGCCCCACCTCCAGTCTGCGTGCCCCGCCCCCATGCGACGGCGCCCACACTGCCGGCGTGCAAAATGCTGTGCAAAGTAACACCCTGCAAGGGTCGAGGTGAGGGGAAGCCCTCTGGGTGGAAGCAGCTATCAGCCAACCACCACGCCGAAATTCACAAAGCTGGTTCCCTGGGTCCCATCTTCGACCGGCGGAGGGGGGCCCGGACTTTCCTCTTGCGCGTCTTCAGGCTCGGTTGGGTCGGGCGGCGCGGCCGGCAGCACTGGCGGTATGGGCGACGGCTCGCTGTTGCCCACGGCCGCCTGCACCACGGGCTCCGGCACCGGCTCGGGGCGAACCTCGTTCTCGGTGCGCCTGTCTTCCCTTGGATCGGGCGAGCTGCGCCAAGGAGAGGAGCTTCCATCAGCAATATCTGAGACCGTTCAGTGATCTGCTGATTGAAATACATTCTGAACCTTGCTAGGCGCTGATTGGCCCTTGCATCAACGCCGCTTTAGAGACACCAGCTCTGAAGGTTGGCGTCGATCCAGGCGTCTATAAATGCTGCATCAAAGCCTACCAAATTTCTGCATGTATCTCAGAGCTGACAAACGGATCGTTGATGCAATTTTGCCGCAACATTGCTTGTTTGGGAATATTGCATCAAGGTGCCCTTTTCGAGGGTTGATAAGCAACGACGTCACAGAGCCATTGTTTCAAGTGCAGTTCACCGCTGTTGGCGATCATTATTTCAGTGACACCCTTGCACCAATCCCCATCAACACTGCACCAACGCCTACCAAAGTTCCGGACGCAATGCTATACCAGACCGATCACGGTATATTGCTGGAAAACCGAATGGCAGGGTGCCGTGTAAGCGGGGAAAGAACGGACCCAGAGGCGGGCACCTGTAATTCGATGTCAACAAACGTTGCATCGCCGTTGCTACCGCTCAAATCCAGATCACAATGAAAGGCGTTGAGGTTTTTGTCGTTGGCAGATAGCGTGCAAAATGTCCCTTACTTTGCAAAGCAATGCGGACACAGAGGCGCACGTTTAAAGGGAATAATCGCTGCCTGGGTTCCGTGACTTCTGCCCGTTCTTAATGCTGAGACATGCTGGGCACCCAGGGAATTGCTTCTTCAGTGCTGCCTCTCCGGCCGTCCTCAGAATCCACAATTTCTGGCAGTCGGAGTAGCACTGTGTGGATAAGGCGCCAAAGACCAACTGGTCAATGTTGGGTTTGCAAGCGAATGGAAGGATGGCATGCACTCGACCCCATATGTGTTGCTTACCTTCCCCAAGGCCGAGATTGGCATGCACCGCCATTATAGGCATTAAGCCAAACACATCGCACGGTATGCCCATGTGTGCACTGCTAAAAAGCCGCATATTCGCAGCGGAAAATAGGCGCTGAACAGGCAAAGTCGTCAATATCCCAGCGGGCTCCTGGTACCATTTGCATGGCAGGCTATGTCGTTCAATGAGATTGAGGTGCAGTAGGGTAGTACGGATGTCTTTGAATGAATCGATTCCTTTCTGCGTGGTTCTTGGCGTAATTGGGCGCATTTGCACATGTTGCAGTTTGCCTTGGCCTGCTCCACAAAAATCAGTGCACTCACCTAAAATCCTCTCCTGTGTCTTCTATCTCTGGAATTTTCGGCTGCCTATCTTCAGGGGTGCAGGTAAGCAGCTCGATGATGTTATTCGAGAAGGTGGGTATGAACACGTGGTCAATAAAGTGCACTATTGACCCGCAAACGTCTGCATCACATACAAATGGGTGATGACGAATTTCGAAAACAGCATAACTGAACAACTGTCTAAAGCATTCATTCCTGAAAGTTCACTGGAAATGAACACTGACATTCGTGCGCATGCGTCATGTCATTGGCACCGGCAAATCTTATTTGCACAGCGAAAAGCAAACTCGTTCAAGAGAAATCGAAAGCAAGACTGCAGCCCTGTGGTACGCAATCGTTTTATGATCAGTGCAGCATGCCAATCGCACCCTGTGCCTCAAATTTAGCCAGAGCATCTAAATCACGTCATAATGGCTGCGTCGCTACAAGCAACTTGCTTGTCCTTCAGCCCAACATTCGTTGTCTTCCAAATCGCCACCCTTGTTGAGTTCAACGAACCCCAGCCCTGCTCAGGAAGAAGACGCTGCATGCGTGGCGTTTTCTCCTCCCCGTTTTCACGACACATCCAGGACACTGGAAGAAAGCGGCATAATTGTGATGCCAACTGCGATGCCATTTTGACAGTAAGTGGCGTCAGCACAGTGACTGCAATGGATAAAAGCAGCTGTGACGGCATCAATTATCTGATTGAGTCTATGAAGTCAGTTGGCATCGCAATAGTGCCATTTTCCGCTGATAGGACAGGTCGCCCACGACTCACCTATGTCTGGCCTCACCACCTTCGCCACAGTTTCTGCCGACTTAACCTTGGTCTTCTTCCCCCGCTTTATGATCTCAATGTCCCCCCGGCCTTCTCCCAGGTTGAGAGCAGCACTGGCGAAAGTGCCGTAAGTCTTGCCGTCTTCCAGGTCGCTCACGGCCAGCCGTGTCGGCACCACGTGCACCAGCAGCAGCTTCTGTATTTCGTTGATCGCTCTTGACGAATCGTCATTCAGCAGCTTTTCAATGCAGTACGGCTCAGGCATGTTGGCAATCGCCTCGTCGGTGGGCGCAAAGATGGTGGCCTTGAAGTCCGGATTCCGAAGTTCGCCCATCAGGCCTATGCCAAGGCACGGGGTAGTCATATATTCTCATATTATATAATGGTATTCAACGTTGCATATGTAAAACAATGCCATGCGAACATGTATTCAATTATTCATTGCAGGGAAACTTTTTGGGAATTTCGTCACAGTCGCCGTTTCCGTTGTTTTGCAGATTGAATGGGCGGTGGGTCTCAAATGAGTCATTTCGTGTATCAGGCGCAATGCTGTCTGTGACGTTCCAAGGCAGTCAGTCGCAAATTACGTAACCACATCTGGAAATTCCGCAGGCATTGATGCAATGTTGATGAGAATTGACACAAGGGGGCCATTGAAACAATGGGCCTCAATATTGGTGAACTGCCCTTGAAGCAATGGCTCTTGGCGTCGGTGTTTTCAACCCACCAACAAGGCATCTTGATGCAACATTCCCAAACAAGCAGTGTTCCAGCAATGCTGCATCAACTATCCATCTACCACCCCGAGATGCATCCAGAAATTTGGCAGGCTTTGATGCACCATTGACAGGCCCTTGGAGCAACGCGAAACTTCAGAGCTCGTGTCTGTAGGGCGGCGTTGATGCAGTGGCCTGTCACTGTTGTGTCAACGCCTGCCAGATTTCCGGACGTAGTAGTCGTTCGTCGAAACGTTATCTGCAGGTACTGAAATACAATCATGATTGTATTTCAGTACCTGCAGATAACGTTTCGACATATGACGCTGATCAGCGCAGCCAGACCGTCCACGCCTGTTCATATGTTTCGCTTCCCTCGGCTCTTTGATCCATTAGATCCCATGCCCGGGGCTCACATCAATTCAGTCTCTTTCTGCATCCGTCTATCGGGCGGCCAAAATCAAGCTTTTGAATACGGCTTCTTATTCAACAAACGCACTAATACACATATTGTGGCTAAATTTCAAAATATGAGTGTTCACAGCCGTGCTGATTCAGCCGTATTTATCCAAAATTCGTCTAAACTCCTTTCAGTTCATGGCCAATTCATGGCTGCGACCTGCATCCTGCATGCCGCGACATCTGGGGGGCTGGGCGTGCTGTGGATGTACGGATCCAGACTATACTCTATCTCAAGCGTGTACAAGAGAGGGGCGATTGACACCCTGATGCTCCTGAATGCGCACCTCATGAGACGTGTTTTCACGACCACTATCAACAAACAGGCCAAAATACACGGTTTTGCAAATCGCATACCGTGTGAAACGACTGAAAATCGGGTAGAAATCGTGTTAAATTGTGTGTTTATTGTATAGCAACGGGACCAAGCCGTGTTTTAACGATGAAGCATACATGATTTTCACACGTTTGGACATGGTCTCACACGTTCTTTACACAGTTCGAGACCTGTAGTTTGGCCGACGTTTTACTTGTGGACGAGTCGCTGCTGGGTCCACCACGACTCGTATACCGGCTTGGAGAGGAGGATCAAACACCTCGCCACGGCCTGCTGCCCACCTGCTCGTTCAATTAGCGTGGTCAGTGTGCCCAGCTGGCCGCCGCTCGTTGGACCCTCCAGGAGGCCTACAATGGTCTCGCACGATGAGCCGTCTGCCGCTTCTGGCAGGAAGCTGAAGGCGCTGTCCGGAGGCCACAGTATGTGGTTCACCACGTGGATGACGGACCAACAGAGCTTGACGTTTGGCAGGTCGATTTTCGCCGAATACTCCCCGCCTGCGCTCTTCTGCGAGGGCAAGAAGTGCACGCCGTAATCAGTAATCGGGGCACCCATCCGCTTACCGATCAGAGGGTAAATCATCAATCAATCGACACACTCAGGACATCGGTGTTGGTTTTTGGGTCCGCATATGTTGAGGTAGGCGAGCTGGACGAAGCCACATCTCAGCGCGCCTCAGAGGGCACTAGCTGCAAACCTGCCTACAGTGGTGCACAGTACAGTCAGTGCTTTGGCATTCCTGCGTTAGTGCAGAAATGGCAAAGAACTGACTGCAGGCGAACTTCAAGTGATTGCAACTGTGCCTCCACCAGTAAAGACACAGCTTCGCTCTACTGACATTTTTTCAACAGTGTCCTCCACAACATCCATTTCGGGCAGCTCCGACACATTCGAACCTCGCCAAGACGCTTGAAAACGGGAAGAAAGCTTCAAGAAGACGGGCACCCGACAACCAATGCATTTTGTCCCTGAGGCGAGTGCGCACCACAATCCAGGTTTCGTGCTTTTGCCCGTAGTGCATGGTGAGGGTGTTCGAGACGTCATCCGGCCCAGAGGCCACCGTCTTGCCGTAAAACGTGCGGAGCACTTGGCCCTCCTGGAAGTCGTCCACGTAGAAGACGCCGGACGCCATGTTGTAGAGCACCACCTTGCGAATGAAGTTGATCATTTCGGTGGAGTTGTCGTTCATGATGGCGTCCAGGGTGATGCCGTTGGGAAGCTTGTTGAAGGCGTCGTCAACAGGGACGAAGAGTGTCGCACTCAGGGTCGGGCTCTTCAGGTCCTGGAGAAGCCCTGGTGAGGCCAATGGCAGCAGTGTCAGTACTGTTGAACGTTTCTTCACCAAAAATGTGACAAACTTCTATGCATCTTATGTATCTATATGTATCTATATGTATCTTCCAGATACGCTGCATGTCAACTCTTTAGGTCCTGGAGAAGCCCTGGTGAGGCCAATAGCGGCAGCGTCAGAACTGTTGGACGTTTCTTCACCAAGAATGTGACAACCCTTCCAGATACGCTGCATGTCGTGGGAACACATATCTCTTAAAGCCTTGACGAAAATGCGACAGGGTTTCTGGCTGCTCCAGCAGCCCTTATATCTTTCCAAACGGCGATATCAGTTATTGGGCCCCACTTGGGCAAAGCGATGGGGAACCGCGTTTTCCTATTTACACACACTTGCTGCACTCTATGATGCTGCTGCTCACTTGTAAATGAAATGTGCTTCTTAGTCTTACGGCCTCAGACAAAATGAAACACCACCTCAACACAGTGGCACTGAGAATCCTGCAGGATAAGAAGGATGGGAAATGGGGCATACTTGCTGGCAGTGCTTTCGCTCATTTCTTTGCAAGCATTTGCATGCGTTTGCTTTATGCATCAAGCTTCATTTAATTTTGAATGCATATTACACCTCCATACTCTGTCCATACTCTGCTGGTGAGTGACGACGTCGCAATGAACAACTGTGATGACTGTCCCCTTCTAGAACAACCCACATTTTCTGACACATAATTATGCAATTTACCACCATTTCAGCACAAAGACTACGAAGTGGGCCGTGCCTTGCCACTGGCAGCAGCAGACCCAGGGATAAACCAAACTGATGACTTACAACAAACACTATTCCAATTTAATAGCCCAACCCAATAATGTCCTGTTATGCATTGAACTGCTATTGCCTATTCTCTATCAACCATTGCTATGCAAGAAGTAAAAAATGTTGTGACAGGACTGTAATGGGGTGCTTGCCTGACTTTGTAAGGAGCTGGTTGATGATTCTGAATTTCGACTGGCCAATAGGGCTGTTCAAAAGGGCCTCCATCGTGTCTCCACAAGATGTGGTGTCCACAGGTGGTGGTGGGGGCGGTGGCGGGGCCGGTGGTGGTGGCGGCGTCAAGGTTGGTGCTCCAACGCCTCCATCAAAAGATTGTTCAGGAGCCAGCGCTGCACCAAACTCAGGAGGACCAGAGGCTGCAGTTACATGAACGTCTTCTGCTGACAAACCAAAGGGCAGTTGGGCCCATGCTGTGGCCGAGGATGCATCTGAGCCATCTTGTTCAGGCAAACCCAATTGTGCCCATGGGTTCTGAAGCAATGCTCGCATCTGAGTGGCGTCACTGCGCACGTTCGCATCCTCAGAGCCAGCCATCTCCACCACAGACCGTAGTCTCCTGCTTGGTGCCTCTGGAGGCGCAGGCAGCTCATCCTCATAGTCATTTATATTCTCAATCTGTACACTCAGGTCTTCCAGTTCTTCATTGACACTCGAGGGGGCTGGCGCAGTGGCCGGCTCTTCCAGCTTCGCACTGTCCTCAGTAGGCGTGGGCGCAGGTGCAGGCACTGTTTCAGTCTTGGATGGCACTGGTGCTGGAGTAGGCACTGGTGCCGGAGTAGGCACTGCTGTTGGGGCAGGTGCAATACTTGGTGATGGCGCTGAGACGTTGCCTGCCACTGGTGCCGGTGCCACAGCCGGGGCAGGTGATGGGGCATCAACCTCTGAGACGTTGCCTGCCACTGGTGCCGGTGCCACAGCTGGGGCAGGTGATGGGGCATCAACCTCTTCAGTCTCTACTGGAGTGGGCACTGCAGCTGCAGTCCCATTTTCCACGAGGGCGGGTGCTGGCACTGGGACCTGCACGGGGGCTGCGACCAGTGCTGCAGTGCTGTTCGCAACTGGTGCAGGGGCAGGCACAGGCACAGGTGCAGAAGCAGGCACAGGCACAGCTGCAGGGGCAGGCACAGGTGCAGGCGCAGGCTCCGGTGTTGGGGAAGGCACAAGTGCTGTTGGCGAAGGAGTTGGCGCAATCTCAGGTGAAGGCGCCGGTGACATTATTTCATCAGCGTCCTTGTCCTTATCTTTTTGTTTCTTCTTCTTTTTCTTCTTCTTACTGCTCTTCTTTTCGTCTCCTTGATCATCCACATCCAGACCAGGCGGAGTCGCAACTGCCGCAACGGGCGCCAGTGCAGTCTCATTGTTGTCCACTGCTGGGGCCTCCACTGATGCCGACTCTGTTACATCACCGAGGTCAGTCCCCCTGTCGTGGGTTTTCTTCCTCTTGGGCCTACTGACCTCCGGATCTGGATCTGGTGCTCCAGCTGGTACCTCTGTCACTGCTAGAACAGACCCTTCCTCCCCAGTGTCTTCAGTTTCATTCAGAGATGCACCTGCTGGTGGCTCAGCGGCCATGGCCACTGGCGACGGTGCATCTGCTTCAATCTGAGTCGTATCGGCCACCAGGGGTTCTACATCTTCTTCAGGCACCGCAGCAGCATCGGCGTCAGGTGCAGATGAAGACCCAGAAAATGGCCTTGTGGTAACAGTGAAATTCCCTGAAGTTGGCGAGGGGCTCGCCCCAGGCCGCTCAGCAGTGTCCGCCTCTGGTGGAGGTGAGGATTCAGCAAATGGTCTTGTAGTTACAGTGAGGCCATCTGAAGCTGGTGAGGGGCTCGCCCCAGATGTGAGATCTGGCTGGGGGCAAGGACACAGTCCGCAGGTGGTTTGGCAGTACCCCTCTTCAAGGCCATCCACGTTGCGCATCCACACAGCAAAACATTTCCCATATTCCCGCTGCACACCACACGGAATATTCAGTGAAATAGGAATGCATGCATGGACAACAAGGCTTCATGAATCGCATCAATTCATGCATTGAGGGCTGCTGCAGCCGGAGATCTCCTGAACTTCAGCAAGTGCAGTGGTAAGCAAATGGCCAACGAATTTAGGTCTCTTCCAAGTATACTGCAGCCTCATTGAGCTACACAACATGTGTCATGGGGTTCAGTGACTGTCTTGATTATCATTGACTGTTTCACAATACTGAAGAATAAAACATCTGGGGAAAACCAGGTCATTGTGCATGTCCAAGAGGGAAGTCAAGCACTGCATTGAAGACCGCTCACCTGTTGCTCACACGTCCAAGCACTGTCCGGAACAGGAACATCAGTGCACTCACAGGGGCCTTCTGCTTTCACCATGGGCACCGGAATGGCTTCCTCAAATACAGGTGCGCCAGGGCAGTCACAGCGGCCACAGGTTGTTTGGCAGTATCCATCTGGAAGGCCCGCTTCAGGATATGGTGTCGTCATCCAAATCGCTTGGCATTTGCCATAGTCTCTCTGTTTCAAAAAGAAACACACATCAGAACGGAAAGCACGCCATATGATTGGCTGCCAAACATGTGTGGTGGCGGCTATGGATGCGGTGCAACCATTCCTCCAAATCGTGAATCATTGCAAGGGCAGCTCTTCGAGCCCAAACACATCAATTTGCGAAAATATGGAGGTGTGCGTGCAAAATATGTATATGAAGGAATGATGAAAGTTAGTGGTGCCAGACAGGAAAATTGCAGAATACTCTTTGCAAGGATTATTCGTTCACAATTGGCAACGAGGAAATGACTGCTGTTGCCTTGAATCTATTGTTTGTGCATGTCTACATGCATGGACTGCATCACAGGTTCGGCATTAGGGCGCAAAATTCTCTCAAGACAGCTGAAGACATTATACTGACGAAGGCAGGCAGGGTCGAGGGGTGGCGATCCCTGAACGGGAATCGTACGCTCAAGTCCACGGCAACGGTTTACAGCCGAGGCAAAAGGACAACAGACGCTCTGTCCTTTATACCCAGTCTGTTCATCAACATCCTTAATGCAATTCCTAGTGCTTCGTCATCTTTTCATACATTCAGTTATTTATAACACTCAATCAGTTCTAGCCGTAACAATACGATGTCTGAAATGCTCATTTACAATATTCAATCAGAGCACAAGGGGTCCAGGGCAGGTGTTTCTTTCCTCACCTGTTGTGCGCAACTCCATTCCCCTGGCGGGGCGACATCAGAGCAGCCGCATTCGCTGGGGTCGAAGCTTCCAGTCGGCTGTCCCACTGCCTGGAGCACAAGAACCAAACCTGCGCCAAGCCACCACAGCGCAATCGGTTGTCTGCCCGCCTTCGGGCATTTTGCATTCCGTTTTTACCCATTGACGAATGCCTATCGGGCGATGCACATTGTTACCCGGGTCACGTTTCAGCAAGCTATATTCTCCATGGTCGAGGGCCAATTCTGCCAGCATTTTCAGCCACAAAACGGCACGAGCCAACAGGCCGTATGGGTCGCACAGCCGCTGGCTTCCACGCGCGCGAGGCGCGCTTTCTCACAGGCCATCGTGGAACAAGGCTGCCTGAAGTGCGGCCTGCTGAAATCGGCAATGCAGGGGCACAGACTTCGCGATGTTGCCCGTGGAGGAATTGAGTTCTTTGCGCGACCTTGACAGGCGACTGCCGCAGCATTGCGGCCCGCCAGGCATCCGAATGCGGATGCCCCCGCCGCGTGGGACGCGAATCACCACATCCGCAACCCCGCCGGCGGCACACACACGTCTCTGACCCGCACCCGCGGCGAGCAGCGTCGACAAGGTGCCACCGCGGATCGGCAATAATGCATGCGCACGATTGCATGCATGGCCCCCGTCCTCCCATCGCATGACGCCCGAATCGGTTCGATTTCGAGCCCCGCTCACCAGACAGGATCCCCAACGCGCGCCGGCCGCGCGTGCCGCTGCCCCCACGCCATGCGCCGGGGCGGGCGGCCCCCGCGAGGACCATGCCCGGTCACGGGCCGCGATTCCGTGTCCTCCAGCCGCCCTGACAAAAGGCCGATCCCTTCCGCGGCGTAGCTAGTTGATTTGAAGGTCCGCCCGACGGCGCAGAGCGGGGAAGGCGCGCAGGCGCCCGAGGCGCGTCGCCGGGCCCCCGGCGCCTAATTCTCTCCTCTTGGGCCCTCCCCCTCCCCTGCCCCCTTGCCGGGTCACGTCGATTGGCTCCCGGCCGGGTCTCGTGGTTGAGACGATGTTGTGCATTCAGCTCAACGGAATCCGGTGCCGGATGGACGTTTCGGGTACGGGGGGGACGGGACTGGAGACGCCAAGGCCCCCCCCTCTGCGAGAGCATCGTTCGGGCGACCTTTACGCACGAGTTGACATGCCACCGCCAGGGGCCCCTGTAAGTACGTGTCGATGCCCGCTGTACATCGGGTAGGCATTCGCGAGATCACGAGGCGCGAGAGCGGTGATGGGGAAGGTGGGATGACCGACAGCTGCGCGTGTACCAGTACGTCCTTTCGAGGGAGTTGGAACTCCACGGCGAGTTGCTGTTACTTTTGGCGGTTTGGAGAGTTGGCGGTTCAAGCACATTGCGGCTATTCACTAGGAAAAGACAGGCCAAATAGAACTTTTGCGAACGCACACAAAACACATTTCATCAAAGTTCTGCACGCTAAGAACGCAAAATAACACCAACCCGTAAACTTTGCACATGTTTGAACACGTGTTATTTGGCCCTTTTTTCCTGGTGATTGTCATTTCAAGCCAGTTTTCGGGAAGAATGGCTGACTAATCCATCCCGTCGGCCTCGTTCTTATTGCTGTTTTGCGATGGACGAACGCACCTTTCCAGCATATCCTCCAGCTTGTATTTCAGTGTGAGACATCCACTGTCAAATGACGAGAAGGCTGCCAAAGCGCCTGGTCAATTCGCTTCGCTTCTCTTTTACTTCGTTCTACCAACAAGCTGTGTTGGTGTGGCCACTCACAGGCGCATCTTACAAAGCAGGATTACGATGTTTTCTGCGCCATGAAAAATTCCCAACCCGTCCGCAACAGAACGCCCTGAACTCACCCGACATGTGCAAAGTTCCAGCAGGACATGCGGCGAGGAGACCACTGGGTACAAGTTATCGCACCTTCGGTGCCCAGCGACCATTTGGCGAATTCCATTAAGGTGGTACTATCTGCATTGAGTGCGCCTGGAGTCGGCCAGCCATCATCGGCTACATTTCACGGAACGCCATGGAGGATTTCCTGCATCTGGGCGACAGCTGGTCCAAAGCCACCCCTGTGCGGCAGTGGCTCAAGGCACACCCTGCTGCTCTCCCCGACGCCCGCATCTCGACCTGGTCCCCTTGCGCGAACTTCATCACACCCGTTTTGGCTCCTCAAGGGCTCCCATATTTTCTAAGCCGTGATCTCCATTTGCACAAGTGCACTGATGAACATCAGTCCGTTAGAACTTGACGTAGCCTTATTCACAAATTTGGCAAGGGGCCCTCATGGGGGCCCCCTGGATCAAGGGGCATGTGCCACACTGAACTCCACTGCGTTGATAGAAACGGCTCCGCATTCCCGCACACCTCACGGATAAACCTTCAGAACATGGACGACACAAGTTGGCGCAGGTCCGCCAGGTCCGTGGGACAAATGGGAGGCCCTTGGAGGGCTTCTCAGCTGGCGAGGCCCGCAATACATTTCCATCCGTTATTAACACAGTATCAAGGAAACCAACCCCTGACAAGCCACACCGGTCACTTGGCAAACGTAGGTAAGGATCGGTCAAGAACGTACTGCCCTCGCCGTCCTGGGCTGTTGCACCACTTTTCGCCCCCCCAAACAAAGCGGGCGGGGTCTCCGGCCCACAAGGGGCCAATGAACCACGGAAGGCGCAACCGCCGTTCCACACACCACACCCCGTCACGACATCGATAGCTTGAATCTACCTTTCCCAATCCCAAGCCTGCTAACATGACAGGAACCTGCGCGTATAGGCAGACAGCCATTCTTTGTGCTGAAATGCCCAACGCGACAAGCATCGCAGCGATCGCACTGCACCCTCGTCTCCGCCGCTCCCCAAACAAAGGAATAAATGCATGATCATGTCACCAAACCAAGGGCGAACATCTCAGAGTCAAGCGCAAAGTGAGCCCCCTTCCATGTAAAGCTTGGCCCCTGCTTCTTCCAGGCGTCTTCCTCATTTCGTCGACATGAGTGACAACCACGATATGGAGTCCACCGTAATCACATGAAGGACTGACAACCGCGATCTAGATTCCAACCTAATCACATAAACGCGTGCATTGCTGCCCTACTGTGTCGTCAAGAACGCGAAATCGAACTGCATAAGGAGGAGTGCCGTATCGGCAGCCGCTGTATGAGAAACTCACAGCGTCGGTTGAATACATTCATTCGTTTCTTGAAATGTATCACGAATAGAAACGTGTAGCCAGATCCCATCCCATTCGCGAACCCCCACTTTCGCCCTCACTCACTGGAAAGGGAATCCCATCAATCACCCTCGAAAGATGCCCGCTATAAAGCCTAACACTTGAAGCCTTCCCACTAATGTACAGTACCCACTGACTAACCCCCACACCCCATGAGTCACACTTGCCCCAATGTAGAATTAGCTCATAGCAAATAGCACCCAGATCCCAGAAACAAACTCCCAAGGAATCCCCACCTACCTACTCCTCATAAGCGAGGGTGCAGTGACCCGTCATGCTGCGATTGTGATGCAAGGAACATGCGACCCGAGTCCCAGGAAACTATTGCAGCCCATGCCAAGCAACGGCTTAGAACCTTCGCGCGCATGTGGCAACTTAGAAGCGAGCGGTTTTCTGGGCGTCGACATCGCGCATTCGAAGCCCTTGAACACGCTGTCCAGACTGTGCACCCGACGGCCGAGGAGTCCTCCACAGTCCACGGCGTTCACTCCGAATGCCAAGAAAGTGAGACCTGACCATGGGTTTGGGAAAAAGGCGGAAGTCAGTGACCGTGCTGAGTGCCGAACCTCACTGGCGAAAATACTATGCCCTATCAAGCAGCTTCTTCCCTTCGTCATGCAGTTTTATTTTCCACGGATACCGCCAGATACTTACCAAATTTCTGGACAACGCGCTTGCAAGTATACACTGAATGTCCAGTTGTCAGTGATGAAAAGTTGCTAGTCACTTTAGGCTTTTAAACCCATCTACATAGTAACTTAACGCTGGGCTCTTTCTGCGGAGAAAACAATAAAAGACAAGCTTAATTTTCACACACTTTCTGCGGAGCAACGTAAAAACGACACAAATAATGCCCTGAAAAAAATGCGGAACAAAAAGCGTAAAGGTAAAATTTCCGATGAGGAAGGGCTCAAAAATCTATGGTATCAGCACGTGCGGGGAGCAATTGATACTTCCTCCGTCCCATATTAATTGTCGTCTATTTGAGAGAGAAATCTCGTCATGAAAACTGTATCCAAATTACAAATGGAGGTCAGAATCGGAAATATTGGGTCTCAAAACCCTTAAGTTCGAATTTTCAAGAAAAAATATTTAGTTCTCAGGCCTATGAGCTGGCCCCCAAAATTGCCTTGACACAGTCCAAAAAATGCGCGTTCAATTTCCGCGTTCTTGCAAGCCCCCCTGGTTTGGGGGCGCTCCCATGCCTAGGGGTTGCAACGCCAATGGTTGCCACCTTTGGGGCAAAGGATAGGGTCCGGCACGTGGCATAGCACTTGCCAAACACATTCAAACATGACTTTATCCTTGTCTCAAGCAGCCATCGTCACAATGTTGACGATACCAGAAATCGCCGGTTTTCTCGATCTCCGATGGGCGGAACTCCAACGAGCGGAAAGGCCAACGTAAACAACCTTGAAGCCTAGGATCAGTGCGTTCTGTCACTCCAAGGCTGTTTGGTAGCCTTGCTCAGATATTTCGCCTTAGTTGATGCTTGAATCGGGACTTGCATGGGCCCCTAAGCTGGAAGCCCCAAAATTGCCATTGTTTGTGGATACAGTGCCAAATGCTTGTGCGCGGTACACAATCCATTGGAACCTAGCAAGAATCCATCACTCTAGAAGACCCGAATTCATTTTTGTGGCCATCCCCCTTGCACCCAATCCTCTAAAGTTCCGAAACAAGGACATGTCGCCATTCCCGTGGCAATTGCCAATTCACTAATTGTTCGTGCCATATCGAGGTGATAGCCATTACCATCTCCGGCTCCTAGTTAAAAGGATTGGGAGACCTCCCTCAGTTGCTTTGACAGTGGCAAAAGAGCTCGAAAAGCCTTGACCAAAAAAATTTGCGTCCGAAACGTCACTCCGATCCCCCAGATCAAGCCTAAATTAATGGTGCGAGCCACGGCGAGTTCGACGATCAATGCATTCGAAACACGTTTTCTATCACCATACCTCTTTGCAAGCACCCTAATGACCTCCACTCTGAATAGCATCAATAGTTTTGCAAGGACGAGTTTGTTTCGCTGCCATGAAGGAGTGCTCCTCAAAACAGCCAAAAACAGCTGTTTTCGGCGCAACGTCCAGAAACGACCCTTTTCTGGCCAGAGGACCCTTGCTACAAAGTACTGCCAAATCCTCAAAACTTAATGGATCGACTTGAAATTTTTATGGTACACTCCAACCTCCCAAAAACAACTTTAGGGAAAATTTGATTACAAAAAATTGCAGGCACGATAGGGAAACAACGTTTCAAAGTCATAGACGACAATTAATATGGGACGGAGGAAGTACAATACGGTGGAAATCCGTTGCGATTATAAATTCTCGAAAAAATTTTCCCCATAAAACAGGTTAGGTGCTGCAAGGCGTTCGAGTGGATCTCCCAAATTCTGGAAAGTCACCAGACTGTGCCTCTTAAACACATTTGGGTGCCACATAGCATCATAGTTCACAGAAGTTTTCGCAGTCATGACGCTATGGCCAATGCGCATAAACTCTCTTTCATACGCATATATTTGAATAATATTTGGTCAAATCCGTTGGTCGATGAAATAGGACGTTTTCAGGAACTGAAGTCGGCATTTAGCGATGCAGCCAGCAACATGTTTCTATAACGCTTTACCAATCTCCAGCAGCTTAACTGCAATTCATCGTAATTGAAATCCTTTGACATATGCTGCGCCTGTGCTGCAAGCCAATTTCCAGAACCAGCCTTCCATCGACGATTTTCTTGGAGCCTCCAGATCTTTCAGATCTGAAAGAATAGCGGCGCTTCCGGCCCACTCTTTGGGCGCGCGAAATACAGTTGCAATGATTACTGATCGCCACAAAGTCACCTTGCAAACATATGAAGATTGAGAACATCCAACGATGAACGTAGAGCATCCCGTACGCGGCGGAGGCCAGCATGAACATTGCCATAGCCGTTTCCGCCACGTACAGGCGGCCCCATCTTCGCGCACACGCTTTGCCGTTGGAACCCTTTCCTGCCTTCTGAGTGACGATCCACTCGTGAGCCCTGTTGAGGTCGAAGGCGCCTTGGCAAACACACGAGGCCTCCATTAGAATGGAGCGATTCAAACAAGCCAGGTTCCACCACAGAACTCAAGCTGGTATTTTTGTTGTAAACACAAATCGCCTTTGCGTTCTTACGCGTAAGAACAGTTTTTACCGTTTTAAACGTAAAAGCAAGTAAACATATGTAAGTATAAAGCAAATTCACCCCCGTGTACATAAAGACAGTATATACCGTCCTGGAAGTGCTGGGAGTGGCAGTCAGACACGGTGGGATGGGTAGAAGACGAACTCTTGTTCCATGCCGTCGTTGCCCTTGCCGAGGGCTGGGTGGACACTGTGTTGCGGGTGCTGGAGATGGCGGACGACTGGTCATTGTACGTGACTTTCATCGTGTAACCCGGGTGTCGCAACGAGCAGTAAGAACGTAAAAATAGCTGTAAAATTAGCACCTTCGGCAAATTTGGATTTGGGAGCAGAAACGTGAATGCGAAAACGTACAAGTAAACGTAAATACCAATTCTGACGGAGAGCAATGTTTGTTCGCAGAAGAAACCCAGTGGACTAAAAAAAATACTGATTTTCATTGAAATGAGCAAGCAACAGATCAGGAGCGTGGAAACGACTGGAGGCGGCCCAGATGAGGCCGAGAAGGTAGCCATATCTCCGCACCCGTTTTCAAAGTGACGCTGCTCAGTCGCAGTGCGACTCTTGTCACAAGTTCAAGAGATTTCGTTTATGACGACATCGACGCAGCCAAGCAATCCAACTCGAAATAGAGTTCTTGGTATGCGCTAGGCTGGCTTGTTGCCTGCAAACTCGTGTATAAACTACGAAAGTAATATTATGACGGCATGAAAGACAACTGGAAAAGTTCAAGCGGCATGTTTAATGCAAGTGCATCCATTCAACAAAAGTAGCGATACTGTATAAAGCGCCACCTCGGGGTAAGCATGAGGTCTGCGGTTCACCGAAGCGCCCACGATACCTGCACAAAACCTTTGACGACGATTGTCCTGTAACCACAATCTCAAATAGCTGGCCGGCGCCAAATGCTCTTACCAGCAAACTAGCCACACAGTGAGCCTCATCGTACATCTCTAAGAAAAACCAGTTCTAGTGGTGCACCTAATTGCGTGAGCAAATTGCTCACATGAGAAAGACACCTCTTTCTCGCCCGGTGCTTTTCTTATTCTGAATCACATTGCTCGGTTGAATTTCTCATCGATGATAGGCCGCGTTGCAAAACCTTTCGCAATCAGCAGCCTTTCTTAATTATGAAATCAGACGATATAGGACAAAATAAGCCGCTCTGTTTGCATATTTTTCGTCGGCGCCATAGTACTTGATTTAATATTTTCAATGTACCGAACATTTTTGACTGTTTTGTTGGGATGGGTAATTTCAACCGATCGACAATGCGAGACCCGCAGCAACTTTGTGGAGAAACTTGCACTTTACAGCGCCACAGATGGCAAACAAGCTTATCTATGCAAAGCGAGTTAACGACAGTTCACATGGCGTAAATTAAGCGTGATTTTCGTGCTGCTTTCGCCAGTGCATTTCATCTCACCAGTCAGGGCCGCCGCGACCTTCACGATTCCCATGGCGTTTCAAAGAGGACATAGGGGATGGCGTAGGCCCATCCACCGGGCGTGAATGAGCAAGTGGCCAGGGTGACCGCCACTGGGAGGTGGACAAGCGCCCACATGGGTACGCAAACCTGTCATGGGGGCAGCACAGCAGTCTGCACTTACAAACGAGATGTTCTTCCTCATGGGATTCACAGTGGTCAACAATTAAAGCACAAAACAGATATCAACTCTGGAGCCTGACATTTCGCATTGGACAAAGTGACAGGCTGCTCCCTGGAGGGATATGGCCGTTATCAAAATGGACACCTGTGCTCAGCACCTACATTTACCTTCATCTAAAAAGAAGGTAAATGTAGGTGCAAGGCATCGTTGTCAATTTGATAATAGCCACGCGACTTGATAACACAAGACTTTGGGAAATTTGGTCCTTTGAAATATCCGCATTGGAGAATCAAAGTATTTTGAGTCCTACACTGTGACAGTCACAAAGTGCATCTCCAGCCCATCGCGTAAACCACTGCTGCTCTTTCCACACATACAGCAATCGCATGGACTTCAGGAAGTAAAAATTTACATAGAAAAGGAAGCAAGCATGCTAGGGGCTTCAAGTCACATATCGCCCACGTTGGGCTGTTCAGTTTCATACACACGTGTGTATGAGGTGCACCCGGCTGAGCGCATTTCCATACCTCGGGCGTGAACACGGTGAGGGGAACCAGGAGGCAGTAGAAGCCCAAAGACGAAAAGTGCGTCACGGATTTCCTCACGAAGAAGTAGAGGATGTTCAGCTCCATTTTCTTGAGGAAAGGGATCTTGGACGACCAAATGGCGGCGCTGGCTCTGCTCCACAACTGGATGGGCCCGCAGGTCCATCGGTGCTGTTGTTTGCGATAGGCTGAAAAAGAGGACGGCAGCTGCAAGTCCACACAGTGTATTGGATGCGCTCGCGGAATGCTGGTAATAGCCGCAAGGCGGGCCACCATGGTGTTTTGCAAATAAAGAATCGGCCAAAATACACGATTTCAAAATGTGTACACTGGTAGAAAATGGCATGTTTGCGATGCCAACTGCGATGCCATTGTGACACAAAGTGGTGGTGTCACAGCGATTGCGATGGCATAAAAATAGCTGCGATGAATCAATTTTTGCTAGTGTTTATGGCTCGCTTGCTGAGTAAATGGCGCTTGTGGAATTGCTGTTGCGCCTTTTGAGATCTTGGCAATCCAATACGAATTGATGTAACAGCATGGACAGGTATGCGCATTTGCGACCATACGCAATAATCTTGGGGGCATATATGCCACTAGTTCAGTGCGCTTGTACAGCAATCACATATTTACGCTGTTGTGGTACTGCCAATTATTGTGGTCGCAATAGCTATTGGCGCTGACGGATGAATTTCGGACGTGAACAATGAATGCGCGATGCTCAGTTATCTCCACACTGATGGCAACAAGAACTATCACGGACAGCCTGCCAGTACACCAACAATCATACATCTGCTACCAGAATATTTTCAATCTTAGGTTTTTTGGATACTGGCAAAACGAAGTATGCCAGTATAGTCATTTCAGGGATCTTTTTGCGATATTGGACCTGATTCCTCGACATCGTAGAGTGGCAGGGAGTCAATTAGGAGCCCCCGACACATAGAGGCACATGAATTGCTTCCACGTTGGCAAACACTTGAGGAAAGCAGCAGGGTGTGTATTCTCGACCTACCTCGTTCATGCACGTCGTGTCCTCCAGAAATAGGGCACGCCAGCCTCCCAGGTAGGCCCTCAGGGACAGGTCCATGTCCTCCACAGTTGTGCGTCCATTCCAGCCGCCCACGCTGTCGATGCAAGAACGCCGCCAGACTCCTGAAGAAAAAAGGCATCAAGACAGCTGATGACGTAAATTGTTTGCAATGTCTGGGACACCTCTTGTTCCAATGAATCACAGTTTATGTTTTCATCCTCACGAATATAAAACGTACCTGACCAGGTGGACCCTGCAAGGTCCCCTGACGGGCTTTCAGCCCAACCGGGTGGACTCGGGAAAGGAACTGGCGCCCCGCCGGAAGATTCCAGCAATCGCACGTGTGCACAGATGATCGCGGCGCGTTCTGCAGTACTTGTGTTGCATTTATCATGGTTTCAGTATGAAGGGCATGGCTGCTTTAGAGTAGCCTCAAATTGAATGTCACGCGGTGCTGCAGCCTGGAGCAGCTTCAGATGCAATGACAGTGCTGCACCAACACCTTACGCAGCAGGCCAATAATACCCCGCACGTGAAAAGTAATTCACAAATTCATCACACAAAAGCAAGGTACACACGGAAATATAGAAATTTGAGTATTCAAACAGACATCATCCGCCTACAAACGTTGCGAATTCCTGCAAACCATGCAAAGCAGTACAAATGCATGCAGGTGAAAATATCGGTAGATCTTACCGGTGGTTTGGGTGTTACTTCACGAAATTATAGGGATACTTTTTCCCTGTGCAAATATCATTGGCTACTAAGCGATGGGAACGCCGTAGATGAGCTTTCATTGCCACTCCCTCTGTGCTCTGACGCATGGTAAACGTCCAGGTTGGAGGTCTGTTATTGAGTGATGCCAAACATGTGTTTTCTGTCTTCTTCGACTTCTAGTTACTCTTCTGGTGGCTGTGGATCGGTGAGGGTGGGGGTGGGGGAGCACCTGCTGTCCCATTGAAGTTGAAAAATGATCCGTACGACGAGTGAACGAACTGCTCGCACTTCATGTGGAAGTTTAGAGATATTTGCTGTGCCTGAATCATAGGTACACCACGACACATGAGCAGATGCCTGAGCTGTAATTACGGCAAAACGGCATTTTCAATCCACGTTGATTGACTTCAAGACCTTCAACAGTACATCCACCATATTCCTACAAAAGATGAACTGGAAAGATTCCACGCAACTCAGTTAGCAAATACGTCAGCAATGCAAACCTGAGCTATCCGCAGTCATTAGCCACCCAATTCTCAAAAGTCCAATCTGAGCTTTGCTACAAAACTCTTCCTATCACTTTGGAGCTAATCGCCGGCTGCCATGATGCACCACAATCGTTGAAAGGTACAACGAACTCCCTATTCACCTTTGTGAGGTACGACTCGTCGGGGTTGTCGAATTCCCAACGCGTTTGCACGTATCCGAGGCCATCATTGCATTGCAAGTAAGGGACTGTACGAAGCTGCGAACGGCAAAAACCCATCAGTCGCCATCCGTACGCGTGCTTGTATCCAGCATACAGCATTGGGCACGCTGTGTACACGGCAAAGACATGTTTTTGTTGGGATCCATCTCCCACCGTTGCAAGACGCAACCAAAACTGCATTCAAATCTCGCAACTGGAGGGCTCAATGGCAGAATGCTAAAACTCTTCTGCAGACTTTCTCAAAGCGATACTGCTGAAATATTGCATTAGTCGATTTACGTTAATGGTAATAAGCTAATCTTATATGCTGGAAACTTCAGGCTCACTTCTGCGACAATCGCGCGAACAATATGGAGAAGGGTGTTAGAAAAACTGTGACTTTTTCCTGCACTTCCTTCGAAGACAACGCAGAGTTGGTGGTTCGAGACTTTGTGCTTACCAAAAAATCGTTCTTGGGCTTGAAATCAGCATCGAAAATAGCTACAAACTCGTAACAGTAAAGCAGCTCGAGCCCCTGCAGGCAACATGAAATGGAGATTGGTAAGACATGATCACTGCAACCTCGACTGCTGTTTTTGGGACAAACCTGCTATTTTCCAACAGAAAATAGGAAAATGTGTTGTGCATTGCTGTGGGTGCGTTGCGATGCTACATGATCATGCACAACTCGTGCGTTTTATGGCAGCACCGAGTTTCAGGTGCAGGGCCTTGATCTTTCGTTCTTTAGCAAATTCAAGATTTGGCATCAGCAACGATAAACGATCAGTGTCCGTTCCACACAGCCTACAGGACACATTGCCAAAGTGAACTTTAGGTGCCAAAATGCGACTGCAGCCCCGATCGAAATGCAGCACAGGTGTATGCCAGCGATGCAAACTTCTTTTGAATGGGCCGCCGCGCTGTAGCATTAACAACAGGACTAAAGGTGATCAAAATACATATGTTCAAATAATCAAAACCACCACAACTAATCCTCTAAATTGTGGCCCCAAAGTGCAAGAGTAAATGGCTCGTACAGTGTGAAAGTTCAATGCAGCCACTTCGTGGACGCTCGAGAGTGCATCATGAGCAATTTCCACCCATCTTCTTTAAATGCTAATACTAAAGCTTAGTAGATTGTTTGCACTTAAGACAAGTGCCAACAGTTCTGTGAGTGCGCTCCAGACTTTGTGATCCAAAACATGCTTGAAGTCTCTTCAGATCGTCTCCACGCACGCCTGAGCTACAAAAAATCAATCCAGAGGGAAAGCACCAGCGTGCTTCATTCTACTGCAGTTCGTGTGGCCTGCCTCTCTCAAGGCTCCCGCCTTGTAGCCTTGTCTGTCGGTCCTCCTTACGCAGACACAGTTCACCCCCCGTTCCCGCCATTCCATGACTTTGTCATCCACCAGCTGCCGGGTCTCTTTGTCAGTCGAGTCATCCAACACCTTGAACAAGCGGGCATGTCAAAATCACAATGTGCAGCAAACCTGGATGTTAGTGCGATGCAATCTGAAATAGTGTAAACTTGTTGAAAATTGTGTATTGGGAGTGCAGTACGTGTTAAAGTCGCCAAATCGTGCAGCACAACGGCAATGTTTTGGTACATTATAATAATTTTGTCCCACTGGAAAGATGAGCGTGAGCGTTTATTTCCACATAAGTGAATGATATTGTCCGAAAGTAAAATTAGATACGAATTCCGGCACAATAGGTATTCCTCAATTAGGCCTCTTCATGTTCCTGTGGCCTTTCGCGCCAGAGAAAAGATCTCAAAACAAATTTTCATCGTCGTATCATTACATCATCAAAGCCTGCACAAGCAGGAAAGCTGAACAATTGCTCAGCTGGGGCCTTGCGAAGCATTGCTTGCGTGCACCAATCACGTTTCTATCTAATCCACACTATACGCCCACTGTTACGTATAGCAAGGTAGGTTCATGAGAGCTGTCACTTTCACAGTCGACGGCGGCCCAAGTAGAAAATACCATCCTAGTATGTGAAACGGCTGAAACGCCGAAAGCATGATCAATGATTTGCTGGTCATATATACACGACATCTGTCAACGCGGCGCGGTTGGGAATACACAAAAAATGTGAGGAACAGAAAATTCTGTGTCACCGGACGGATGTTCCTGCCACCGATGGATCCCTGGCCGCGCCGATTGGCAAAGGGCAGTGTCCCAACAAAACAATCTCCCTTGGATCCTTCCCATAGGAGAATGAGGATCCCGATGCGCATGCGCTGCCGAACAGCGAAATTTCATGTCCGCTTCAGTTGGGTGTGGCATTCTGGAAGTTATGTTCTTGAAGCCAGGCACACAGCTCACCTGCACCATGAGGCGCTTCTTGGGCCACGTAAGGCTGCAGGCCGCGTCGATGATGTCCTGACAAACGTACCGCTCGTTGAACATGGGCAGCTGCACGGCTACCATGGGGTACAGGTGGGGCAAGGCCGAGCCATCGGGCAGGCTCTTGAACCTGAACTTCTGCGCAGGCTTGCGTCCCCGGATGCGAGAGGCGACCCTGATCTGGATGTACTTAAGGGCGTGCAAGATCCTGTCGACGGAGACGACCACCGAAATGGCCACGGCCACAGTTGTGGCCAGCTGGAGGCACGCGACGTAGAGGTCCCAGGCGGCCAGGTAGTGGGGCCCCGCGAAGTACATGGCTAACTACTGGAAATCCACGTAATTCGAGGGCCAGCTCCTGGGAGCCCGGGTCGCCTGGAAGCTAGAGCTGTTGACAGGCACAGAGCAACGAGACTGTAAATGGAGTTAATTGAGACATCAAATTAAGTGAGATCGTAAATTGAATTGGGGCTGGGGAGCCGGGGATTGGATGAGCATGCTGTGCATTCTGGACACGAGCCCGATCGGTGGAATTCTGTATCCATGGGAAATGCACGTTGGAAAGAGTGAATTGCGCACGTCCTCCAGAAAAATCACATGTACTTGCATCGTCCACCCGGGGATGCGCTTGCAGCCGGGCTGGGAGGGACAGGATCGCCAGCACATGCGTGCGCCCGCTCGATGTGTGCTTTGCAAGGGACACTCTTGCGAATCGAGGCCACCATCGCGACCTATTGAATTGGGCTGTAATGCGGGAGACAATCCGAGGGGGCCCAACCCTCGTCGCGTCCCGTGTTGCATTCGCCGCTGCGCGACGGACGGCACTGGCCGCTCACCAAGTTCTCGGGGAACGCAATCGCAGCGGAGCAAGCAACGGGCCGCCAGCGAACGCGAGCATATGTTTCTGGCCAGCACGGCGATTTCGTTCGCAGTTGCAAGCGTCGGTGCCCGACTTGCACTGGCCGAGGTGCCTTTCATTTCCCGCAAAATCAACATCACGGGCAGACGAGCGACGGCAAACGCCGGCGCGGAGGATCAGGGCCGGCCTCCTTTTCAAACTTCCAAGCCTGCCGTTCACTCACGGCCATCGTGCCATGTCGCGACGGCCGCATTCCGAGGGCAGCCGCCTGTCCAGAGTCGTCCATGGTAAATTCACGCCAAGGGATGCAGGCTTCAAATCAGTCTACGCAAATCGGCTGCCTCCGCCTCGCGACGTCGGCTGAGAGAGGCAGCCATGCTGAAAGCCCTCCAAAGCAGCGAGGCCTCAAAGCGGCGTCGACGCCGTGAGCCATGGCTATTCGCCCAATCGCATGGAGAGTCAGCCGCCGCCGACAAGCCATCGCCAATCACGTGCCGCCAATGTGATGCGCGGCCCACAAATTCACCGGCGCATGCATACCCCCACGATCGCCCCATGTGGATTTCACCCCGATCCAAGGATTGCACCCAGCTGCGAACGCAATTTGCCCTTCTGTGCTCGCGTCTGCTCAATGGGCGGAGTCCGTTGGGGCCCCAAGCGCGCCCCTTGGCAACCTTGACATTGCACGCGCCCGAACGCGGTCCAGCGCCCAAGGGGCGGCGGCGATTCGCACCCCTCATGTTCGGGGCCAAAGGGTACCCCAAACGCGCGCTCACCTGTCCGTTATGCATAGAACGACGCGCGCGAGCTCCAGGAGGGCAGCCAAAGCGGCGGGCGCGCGCAGCCCAGGCCGTGGTTTATGTGGCGGGATATCCAGGACATGCACGAGGCACCAAAACGTAATCAGCAGGGAATGATGCAACGGAGCGCGGTGGCGCTGGCCGGCCTCGCACTACTGAAGCGGCCTCTGTCATCGCACCAACATTGGATGATGGCCCCCGGTGCTGCGGCATATTGCGTCGTCATTTTTGCTCATGCGACGTCCCGCTGTGCTGCCTGGTTCCGCGCTCCATAATTTTGACGGTAGAGTTGTTGCGAGAAGCGCCAACCATACGTACCAAAGCCACTGTGGGCGGCGCGGGACTAATCGGGTTGCTGGCAATGGCATCCCACCGGCACGGCGCCGGCAGCTGTCGTGCGCTCACGACCAGATTTGCCCGTGCTCCGGCCATTCGGTGACTGAATTACTTTCTTCTCAGATGTGCAACAGTCCGTTGCACCTGGCGCTCCTTGCCCACGTGTGGGCCTGGTACGTCAGTGAAACACACGCTCCGATCCAACAACCGGACGTACCATGAGCCAGCCCCATGGTGCGTCAAGGTCGCATTGTACAATTTGTACAGCTCAAGCAATATCTGGTCGCTAGTCCATTACCGTATTTGCCCTGTATTAGTAGGCGTGTATCGGAACCCCCAAATGAGCAGTGGATACTAACAGTGGGTCATGTGTACTAACGCGGTTTGGACCTCTGATCCAAGGAGTAGACAAAGAAAGCTTTCGACAAATAGGCCGTGAAATGCCCAGAAATGAGCAAAAATGACAATGCTATTAGTGACTGTTGTCAGCCTCTTCACGGGAGCTGGCGGCCTTGACTTTGGGCTGCACCAGGCGGGAGCGGCAAGCGATCGGGGCCAACAGGGGTTCGCTGGAATGCTCGAGGCGCGTTTGTCTCTGCAATGCAAAGAACGAGGACCGACATGGGTCTCGACTCGCCGAGGCGCCACGTCGCGACGATGGGCTTCACACGCGGCGTTTTCCTAAGCTGATGGCGGCTAGGATGGCTGCTGGGATGTGTGATTGGGTTTGTGGTATGGTAGCCAATGGGATGTGCGAATTGGGGATGGGTTCCAGCCTTAGCAGCGTTTTGCGCGCATTTTTGCGACGCGGGGTCTCACAACGGCGGCCGCCCCGACCAGCGCCGTCGCCTGCTCATTCTTGGCGCTGGGCCTTGGGGCTGCCTTGGCAGCCGCCAGGCCGGAACTTGCTCTGGCCGGGGAGCAGGTTGACTCAATCCAGAAACTAAGGCGGCTTCAATTTCTCGACCACCTGTTTGATCGGGCCCCGCGGGATTAGTCGCTGCCCTGCGATCCTGAGCCGAGAGCTCTAACGGCGGACACTCGACCATGCGGCCTTTTGCGGGCCCGCTTCCAAAATCTTCCTCGACAGCATCTACCCCGGCCCGATCGTCTCCGTCGATGCGCGAATCGCAGGAAACCTGGCTTGGTCCAGTCTGGGCAACGCGCTCAAACACCAGTTGCCGACTTCCCTTACCACCATCAGCCCCTTCGCTCGTTTCTGACTGTGTTTGGGGGTGGATACTAATACCGGGTCATGGATACTAATGTGGTTTCGTCCCCCAAAGAGGGTGGTGGATACTACTAAGGGGTGCCTACTAATACCGCGTAAATACGGTATGTAAGTCGCTAACATACATGTAACGAACTGTCATCGGCATGCGTTCGGCGCAACTGAACCGTCGCGCGACATACAAAGACATGAAGAGGCCAAAGAGCGGACGAAGGGCCGGCCGTGCAGAGGAAACCTAATAACGGAAGGAAATGGCGATGCAGCGCAACAGGTGCGCCCATTATGCTGCTTGTTGTTGAAGCTCGATGCAGACTACCCAGCAGAAAACCATGCACACCCGTGTCTCTTTGCAACAAATCCCACCCCGGATCGGTGTGGCCGGAGCTCTGGTGGCCTTGTCAGCATCCCCTGTCAGCGGATGTGGTGGTGGTGCATATCAGCCCCGAGTGCCGCTTTCTCGCCCTCCACCCCACCACGCCCCAGCGGTAGCCCCGCCCGCGGCAGAGGCTCAGCGCGAGAGGCCCAGGCTCCAGCCGGGAGCCCCCCCCCTTTCCCCACGAGCTACGCTCCCCCTCTGACCTCCAGGCACCATCCTCGCCATCCTACGAACGACGGCCCTGACTTAGGCGCAGGTGGGCCGCGCGCGGGGCATGTGTGGTCTGATGGCCGCGACCGGCGGTTTTGGAGAACTTGCGTGATCCGAAGGCCGCTTGGGGGGTGGAGGTGGCTGCATAGGCGGTGGCATGAGGGGAGGGGAGGCGCGGCGGGGGGCCACGGGGGGGCTTGACGCTTGTGTGTCAGGATCGACCTGCGGAGTCGTCGGCGGGGTGCGGCGCCCTTTTCGCCGGCCGCGGGCCGTGATGCGCCGATGGACGGCATTGCGGGGGCGCAGCGGCGTCCAAAGGCGCATGGATGCTAGAAAGGGTTGGGGATTGGCGTGGTGGGACCGTCATGCTGTCGGAGGCCGATTGGGACTCTTCCCCTCTGTTGGGGCCACCTCGCCTCACGGCGTGTTGCTGTCGGCTGGGCGCGTGAATCTGGATCCAGGGCGCTCAGTTTGGCCTCCGGCTCTCTGGTAGGCGTGGGTCGTGCCGTGTCGCCCTCTGGGTTGAGTCGCCGGGCCCCGCATTGGCAGCACACTTCAAGCTGTCGCACCACGTTAGTAGGAAGAGTGACCCTTGCCCGGCGTTACGGGCCATGCTCAGCCACGGGATCGAGCGCGTTGTTTGCGAGCTCCACAGATCGGACGTGCGGCAGAAGTGGTGCCGCACCCGATAAGAGCACGTGGGGGCACCCAAATGGTATTTCAACTCTTCAAATATTCCAAATCGGAGGAAATTTGCGAACAAGCGGTCATTTTTACCAAGCGTTTCTGTTGTTTGTGTAGCAAGAAAAGGCGCGGTTCGTTGGTGGAGGGGAACCATAGGCTGCTGGGGACATTGCTTCGTCAGAAATATTCAAGACGACGCGAGACCCGGGCTGTGCTCCTCTGTTGGCTGCACAGGCGGTGTCGGTCCCGAAATTGTTCCAGCAGCAATTGCCAGAGACCCGCGTGCCCTGCACAGAAGCATGGGAAGAAACCACTGGGGTGACGATGGCTCCTCCAAGGTGAGCGCCCGTGGTCACGGAGCACCCATACTCCAACCCCAAGGGCTGTTGTCCAGCTGCTGTAAGGCACCTGTTTCTGATTTCTGTGAGCATGTGCAGCTGCTGGGGCGCCTATATGCCTGTTTGCAGAGGATCCCTGCTTGCTCGCTGGCTGCAAACAGACAGCATGATAGGGATGTGAATGTTGCATTGCCTTTCTGCTGTTTGATGTTGTTTTGCGTCGTTGCTTGTTTGTCCTACTGGCAGTTTGTTGTCCGAGCCAGGAAGGGCCAGTCGAGTGAACTTTGGTCTGGTGTGGCTGTCCAGCTTGCATAGCCGTCCGGCTTGCATAAGCGCCTTTGAGTGTGTGATTGCCAGCCATGTGAATCTTGGCACAGCTGCTGTGCAGTGTGTGTGCCACTTGCAGTTCAAGCCCAAGTCTGACACTTACAGTCCAAACCCCATGATGAAAATCTGATCTGCTGTCTTGTTCACTCTGCAGTTTGATGTTTGCTTCATCTGCATCACACAACCCCAATCTAGTAATGCCAAGTCCCAACAAGCATACTGCAGTGTTGAAGGTGCCCCACACAAGGCAAACTCAAAACTGGTGGGTCTAAATAGTTTTGCAGTGGGCTTTTGTGCTGGTTTCTTCTCTTGTGCCGAAAGATATGGCAGGTTATGCATTGTTCGGACAGGGGAATGTGTTGAGGGATGTACTTTGCCATGTTTACTGAAGAAGTTTTGCTTGATTGGATGTGATGGCTTCCCAGTGAAAGGGCCAGAGAGTGCTTTCCTGTGTGCTCGCAAGGCGCATCAAAACCAAATACAGTTGGGGGAATTGTGGTGGGAGTTGGTGTGCATGATCGTGTGGAGATGTCCCGTTCTCATGAGGGTTTCTTTGACCAGCTGGCATTTGTACTCTGCTTGAATGGACCATGCTCGTCATGTGCAAATCATCTGCTGGTGCTCTTTATTACAATATTGATTCTGCAATGAATGTAAGATGGGGAGATGGCTGGTTCTCTTCTGAGTTGGCACTACAATGTGCCTTGTGCAGGGATTGTGGCTTGGCGTGTGTGGTAATGGTGCTTGAAGCAATGGGCGTGAAGGGCATCGACTTGCATGGGATTAAGCAGTTGTGTCCAACGAAGAGGTACTGGGTGCTTCTTGTGGCTGTGACAGGGGGCCTTCAGCGCTCCTAACCTGTTACAGCACATACCTTATTCCACATCAACCTAGTTTTACAGTATGTTGGTCACCTGCTGGTACGTTGCTGAGCTCCCGGCACGAGCACAGCTCGACACTTGAAGCTCTGCTTCAGCAACATGGGCCCATATCATCGAACTGTTGTTGCTTTGCCTTTCTACATGTCATTTCAGTCGTCTTGCAGGTCATGTTAGCCACAACCAGAAGATGCATGCTTGCTGCTGCTGTCTTGCCCCTTACCTGCATTTCTCACTACTCCTTGGTGCACACGCTACTCTGTGTTGCATGCTGTTCATGTTGCGCTTGAAGACACCATAATCTACCATTTGGAAGAGTCTTGCAATTTCTTGGTAAGGAATCGGCGATTCTTGCACACTATCTTCTCTTTGTGTTGAATGACGATCTCTGGTTGCAGCTTTGGGCTCTCTTTTCCCATCACAGTCCAATGCAGCAGTGTTGCTGCTGTTCTGCAGCTTGAAGCTGTCACAAGCCAAGCACATCAATGCTCTTAAGCCCTCCCAAACCAATGCTGTTGTTTCCAGCAGCAAGGTGCACTGCTTCACAACCTCAACGTAGTGTGGCCCAGCAACCTAGAAATCTGGGTCAGCAGCAATAGGCCTGCCTGATGTGCCTGAACCCCACCACCCCACTGTGTATTTGCCCCTATGTGTTGTGTTGTGGCGGTGACTGCATAATTGACAACGAGCTTGCACTTGATGTACTTCCAGAACCAGGCCACCAAGAACAGAGCAGACACACGTAGCGTGTTTTGATACATGTTGGAGCAAACTATTTAAAGGCTGTACTGTTTGGAGCACCCCTCCTGGCCAATTCATACTGCACCTTCCTGCTTTCCTGTGCCTTAGGAGCAAACTGGCAACAAGTGACTTGTTGTTTGCACTCCTCTTGCTGCAGCACTTGGACAGTGGACCTGGCGTACCTGCTCCACCGCTTTGGCGTCCAGGTGCTGTTTCTGACTGTCACCATTGGCGCCAACCCAGACTTCGCTTCCGAGTCATTCTATCATGACAACATGCAAGAGGATGAGCGCAGGGTCAACCGGCTGTTCAGAGAGGCAGCCTCAAAGGGCATACCCATCCGATCCTGCTCCATGTCTGGCCACCAGCTTGAACAGGCCATGCTGTCCAGCCTCTATTTAGTCATCGCCCTTGTGGACAAGAGAAAGTTAAACACCTGGTTTGGGGTCACCCAGATGTACGGCCCCAATCTCTGTTTTCTGGCCAGTGGGTACACAGGCCACTATGTGGTGATCTGTGGATTTGACTGCAGTCGCCAGGCCTTCTTGATACAAGACCCCGCGCGCTCCACGCCATCGGGGATTTGGGTGGCAGCGGAGGTGCTCGAGCAGGCGAGGAAGTCGTTTGGAACGGACGAGGACTTACTAGTTATTTCCACTCAATCTCTGGAGGCCAGTCAGCCCTGCACTGTCACCAGTGGCATGGCTATGGGTGGTGGCGAAGGGGGGAGGGAATGGTGATGGTGAGCGGCTGCTTGATGGCGTCTCTTCCAGGGATGCGAGCAGCTGGCAGCTGCTCCACCGAGGAGGCCTGCTTAATTTCCTCGCCGACGGCCAGCACACTGTTGTAGGTCATTGTGCGGAGGCTCGTCTTGCCTTTTTGCGATATCTATGTTTGTCTGCGTGGTGTTTCGGGCAGACCTGGCCTGGTTTTGAAGTTATTAGGTTGGCAGGGCCTATGCTGTGAGGTGGCATGTGCTGGCTGCTTGGCAGAGTGGCACTTTGACGCGACGCTTCTTTGATAAGAGACGGGGGGGAGGGCCTTCTTTTGCTTGATGCAGACCAAAGCGTCCATATGTTGCGCTTCGCTGAAGGGACAGGGAGATGGGAGTGGCCCGGGGCGGTTGCGAGAGTGGCGGAGAGTGAGCAAAGGGCTATGCAAAGGAAGAAGGGAAAGCAAACAGAGAAAACGCGGCTGCAGATTTCGTTGCCTGCAAGCTCGATTGTTTGTTGGTTTCTCATTTCATGCAGCGCGTTCTGTTTCCTGTGTGGCAGTGTGAAAGTCGGTGCTATCGTTCTTGCATGATGCCCTACCGTGTTACATCCATCAGGCGGCGAAGGGATAGGGTGGGTGGGGGGGGGGGTGGGGAGTGGGAGAGGGAGATGGTGAAAGAAGTGCAACAAGTAATATGTGAAACAAAGGGAAAAGTCGAAAAGGAAAACGCAGACAAAAAATCATGTTCGAGGGGTCGTCTTGCGTTCCATGCACAATTGTTTCTTTGGGTTGTCATTTCGTGTGGTGTGCGTGTAGCGTGCTGATGGGATGGGTCCTTGTCTTCCTGCCGTGGTGCATGAAAAGACGAATGACACATGACAGACGGGGCGGGTTTTGGATGGTCAGTGGGAGAAGTATCCAACTGCATAATGTGTGGAGGAGACGAAAAGGACATACAAAAAGCGCAAAAGCACCTTTTACTTGCTGGTGCTATTGCCTCTTCTTCGATTTTCCATTTCATGTAACATGGGTTGCCTGCTGCATCGCTCACAAGCCAGGTCTGTATGGTCCGAATGTGCTGCTCACATTGCTGTTTCGCCCCAACCTGTGGAGACTGACATGCGGATATGCAGATCTGCATGTCCCCGTAGCAAACCATGATGGGCTTCAATTCCACGGGGGTCGTGCGCGCCCAGGTGCGACAACACGGTGTATTGGCGCCCCACGCCAGCGTGCAGATGGATTCCCCTCTGTGGAGCACACGTCCAAAGGACAGAGCATGGACCGTCAAGGCGACACGAATCGTGATGCATCCGAGAATGGTGCATGTTTTGAGACAGTGTGCAGGAAATGCGCTCGAACGAGAGCTGGGCTGTGTGTCAGAGTTCCTTGGCCATCCCGGTTCGAGATCCCGCTCGTCACAAGCGAATGCGCGCAGCGATGGGCCACAACGCAGCACAGATCAAACCGTTTTGGTTCGGCCTCTGTGGCAATCTTGGTGCACGCGGTACTCAAACGCACTCGCTGTGCATGGTCGGATAGGCGGCCAAAACTTAACTTGTCTTACAACCAAACCAAGAGAAGCCACGAACAAGTCTTGGGCTCTCTTTAAATACCAGAATGCGCCTCGTTTTTCGCCCACCAGAACTCAGAACAGCAGGCTGAACTCACACTTCACACACGCACAACACGCTACCCCACAGCACCGACCCATAGCGTCGACCCACGGCACCAACCCACGGCTCCAGCTCATCGTACCAACTCACAATCACCAAAATTAAGATTGAACCTGATTGTTGGCCAACAGTCATCCCGCCATCTCAATCAGGTCAATGTGTGCAGCAGTCAGCCAGCACATGGCCAGGTGCTTGCACAACATAGCTGCTGCGGCTGTCGTGGTGTGTCAGACTTTCATCTCTTCAAGCTGGCTCTTTCATCTGTGGTCACTTTTCTCATTGAGTTTCACTGCACATCAGTGTTCAGCCACCGACCTCCAGTCATGAGATCTGGAAAGCTGCATGTGAAACGTCGAGAAAAGGTGGCAGCCAATGATTGTTTTCATTGACAGATATTGTTGATGGCATTCCTCGAAGCGGTATCCTCCTATGCCACCGTTTAATCACCGGACTACAAATCAGTAATTGACGGAGGCAGATCAGTGGTCAATTACTGGCAATTCGAACACTCCGCCCATCATTATGGATCTCAAGTTTCCCAATTGCTGGCATAATGACATTTATTATTGACGTTGTGTTTAGAGGGATGAACTCAGACCCTGCCCGCCTTATCAGCGCCAAACGCAAATTGGGACTGATGGTCAAGGGCTTACTGCGCATCCAGCACAAAGCATCAACTCCGCCCAACCTTCGATGTTTGCCGCATTCGACGGCCTTATACTGCAAGGTGCCGCTTTGTGCCAAATGTCCATTGTCGGGGCGCGTCTCAGTCCAAAGTTGATCGAGGACCTCCACAGCTCCTCCAAATGTGAATCACCAATGGACGCCCCTTCCTGCATATCGTCAACTCTGCACCCCTGGTGCCCTGACGGATACCTTGCCAGAAACGCCCAGTGTGAATCTTGAAATGGAAAACTGCATGGATCAGGGTTTTAGGCCGCGAGAGCGGTGATTTAGGACCTTACTTGATTTGCGCCAACTTCGGTGCTAGTGTGTCCTTTTCACAGAGTCGCGAGAGAACGCTGGGATGGGCCAGGCGTTCTTTGTGGTTGCGGTTGCCACCTCCATTTCCGATAGGCGACACACAGGGAGCTTTGGTCATCCGAATGACAGACACTGGGTGCGAATGTTGGCCTTGTCACAGGTGCACGTTTGGCACACTTTGTCCCATGGATGCGACGGCACTTCACAGCGAAACAGAGCTCAAAATAGACATTAAAGCCCCCCGCCAAACATTACAAACCTATGTCATGAAATCCCTTCGAAAACTATCTGTCGCTCGTGACATTCATTGTGGCACCCCCACCGAGGTTGCCTGTTCCTGATCACACGAACACAGGCAACGCCCGGCATCGCCTGAAAAATGCAATTGTTTGACAATGTGACAACTGAGAATTTCGCCTTAATGCCGCCGATGCTCTCCACCTTGCCCACGGCAGTCTGTTCCAACCAACCACAGCCTGGCACGGCAGCCAACTCAAAACGGCGACGATCCTGGAGACGCCCCCACCCCCCACCCCCGAATCGTTCATTCCCAACACAACACGCCTGGAAGGCATGCCTGCGACCTCACACCGTCCTCCCACAGGCGCATCCGATCCAGGCAACCGGCCCCCCAAGCCAGGCCCCCGGGCCCGCCCTCTGCGGGCCCCAAGGAACCCACTTTCCAGGCGCAGCCGCCGCGGCGCCCTGTTCAAGTCCGCCCCGATGACTAAAGCCTGGACCGCGACCCGGGCTTCTTCATCTGGGCCTCAAGCACCGCCTTCCAGCCGGGCCCCTCCTCAGTGCGGTTGAGCGGCGACGCCTGGGCCATCTCCAGCAGGCCCCTGTACACGTCGCCGTCCGACCGGCCCAGCGCGCTGCTCAGCTCGTAGTCCAGGAAGCCAAAAGCGTCCACCAGCGGCACAGCATTGGGCCGCACGGCCTTCACCAGCGCCCGCTGCTGCGCCCTCAGGAGCTTGACCTGCCTGGCGCTCAGGTAGCCGGACTCCAGCATGTCGCCCACCTCCCTCTCCAGGACGGTGAGGCCGAAGAGGCCCTGCAGGTCGGCCAGGGCGCGCACGGTGTTGGGCTGCAGCTCGCCGCGGGACCTGATACCCTGCAGGCTGTCCATGAAGTTCTTGTAGATGACGTACTGGCTGTGGGCGACGGCCAGCCTGCGGGGGAGGGGGGGCCAACAAGGCGTCAGCGAGCCGACTGGGAGGCGAGCTTGGTTTGAAACGAGGTTGGCAGCACACTGAGGGTTGAGCATTGGCCTTTCGGGGCAATAATTGGTGGCGAACTGTTTTCAGGCATCCCAAAATGCGTGCTGCACGTGCCAGTGTCTTTGCAGACAGCACATTGCACTTCGAAAGCACACAACAGAAGTAGGAATGCGCGTCGACAACGGCCCAGTGACTTCACAACGGACTTGACAAATGCACACAGCATTCTGTCAGTGAACTCTGACAACAATCCAGCAGCCGGAAATGCAAGCAGAACATTGGCCCGTTGCCCATTTACCCACTGCTCTTTGGTCCTCCTCTGAAACAAACCTGCACCCTCTCCCTTGCGTGCTTCTTTTAAGGCTTGAACTGGGTGCTGGTGGCCTCTCCTAATCTCCCTCTATAACCGAAGTATGGATTGAATTATCCACCACTGTTCCAGTACTGCAGTACGTCAATACTGTGTTGATCACTACCTACTACGCTGTATTCACTGCCCTCCAGCTGGATGCCCTCCAGCAACAGCATCCCATGAATCAAGCAATTTTCTTGCTGATGCCCCCAGCCTGTTGGTTGTTGCCCAAGATGCCAAGCACCAAACCCATACTGCTGGACAAACTCATGTATCACCAAGAAACTGAAAAGGTAATATACTCTCTATGAAAAAACTGAAAAACAAGCTTGAGGCAATGGATTCTCCATAGGAAAGGGGACTCAGAAAATTGACTGGGAAGATATCATATCCTCTCCAACCACAATCCAGTTGGCTTACTTGATAACGATGACATTGGAGTTGTCCCAGGGCTCTCCCTCGAACACGGGGTTGCCACCGGACTCCTGCTTCAGCTGCTCTGCCGCATCCACACACAGCCGAGCTGCCCTGTTCCTGAAGGCCGCCAGCTGGGCCGCAGGGTCCAGCCATTGCACTTCAGTGGACACGTTGCACCTCTCCTTCATTTCGAACTGGGCATTTTCGAGGTACTTGGCATACCCGCTCAAGGTCTTCCCTGTCATGGCGCCCAGCAGCGACTTGATGAGGTAGCGGCCGGTTTGCAGGAACATGACGTTGTTGTCACCCTCCCACGTCGAATTCTGCAAGCAAGGGATTGGCCACACTGACATATAATGTGGGAACCACAAATAGCCACCATGGACTGTGTGGGGACTTTTGAAATCACTTTCAACGTGACACAGTTGCACCCAAAAATGTCTGCATGACTTGGTATCGGTAGCAATATGCCCACTATGATCGGATTCGTGCAAGTAATCAAGTCACATGCCACTGCGATGCCAAAATTGAGCAGTCTGCAAGCATGGCAACAGTGTAGGGAACCGTGGTGTTAGCATAGGCAGCAGCACACAGTGTTGCTCAACGCAGTCTGGTCCCAAAGGATACAGATCAACCTGGAATCAGACCAAATTGGCCAACCAGATGGAGCCATGATCGATACATGTGTTGTATACACCACCCCCAATATACATTTGGCACAGTGTGTACACTTGAGTTGCCATAAATCTGTGTCTCTTCGATCAGCATGGAAAAAAAGTGGCAACAAAGGCCATTGAACGGTCACAGCTTTGGAGAGTTCCATCAATCGCCCAAATGCGGGAACAAACATCGTGAGATCAAACTGTGAATTTTTCACCACTACTGGCCATTCTTGGTAGCTGGCAACCCACAGTATAATACCAATGACAAGTGCCGCAAGGGCGTCAGACCCTTCCCACCTGCACATAGGATGTGTACATATCTGGCAGGCCGGACAGCCTGCTGTAGCCATGCCCTCCGCACAGCAGGCGACTCTTCTCGATGCCTTCGCTTGTGATGGTGGTGCACATGGCCTTGAGACCTGAAGAGAAGGCGTGCAGCTCAGGCAGGTTGCTGAAGTCGCCGCGGTCCCTGCTGCGCTCGAAGTCCGTGTACATCTGCATCATGACCTTCCCGGTGAAGTGCAGGGCATAAGCCGTGGCCAGCAGGGGGAGCAAGCTGCCTGCGACGCTCTGGTAATCAAGGACCTGGTGGCAAGGAAACCATGAACTCAATGAACGCCTTCAAAAGCACGTGCCTCATTTGCTTCTTGGATTGTGTTCCCTAGATTGCATTGACATCCACAAGGCAAAAGCTCTTGCCCCCTGCAACCCACCTGCGTCTCCCTCTGGCCCTTGGACGATGTAGTCTGCCTGCGGACAGATGTGTAGCGAGTGGCGATGGTGACAGCCATGGATAGGAACTTCCCGGCGTCCTGCACTATGGTGGACCTGACGTACATCATGGTGGCATATGAGGCCTTGGCATTTGCTGGCGGAGGTGGCACGTAGTCACCCTCTGGTGTGATCTTTGCAAACCTCATCAACATGGCTTCCCGAGCTGCATGGAATTCAGCATGAAGTTAGCACAACTGTGATCGCAGTAGGGTCTACACTTGCCTCTGCATTTGTTCCCCATATCATCAGGTGCGTTATTTTGGCCACACTTTCAGGGTGATATTCTAGCTCAAGGACACATTCAAGATTTGTGGGAAATGGGATTGGGCCACATGTCACTGAGCCTCCGTGCATTCCATTGAACTCAACAACAAGGAAACACAAGTCAACCACCTATGCTGTTCATTCCCAATTGTAGACACCAGTCCAAGCCATTTGCAGATCCAAAACCCAACAGGCTGCAGCACTGAAGGCATCACAGTACCGAAGGGCCATGCGACGCATATTCATGGACTGCAGCTTGCACTGACAATGCTGAGGGGTGCAGAACAATGCGATGGACAACTCTGACACTGTTTCCCTTGGCATCAATTGTCCAGTGCTACGAATTTACAAGCAAGAGAAGGTGAGCCAACAATTGAAGAGCGATAACGACTTGGTTCCCATGATCATGCTGGTTCAACATTGACCTTGCCAGCATGCAGGGATTCCTGAAGGGTGGACAGAGTGGATCACTTACGTATCCGGACATACTCCAGCCTGAGAAATCCGTTGTCCACTCCATTGAAGCCGAATTTCGGTCCGATGTCACCGATGGTGATTCCTGTGAGGGGCTTGTGGTCTTCAAGGGACCGAATCTGCACACAGATGGATCCAGAACATTAACACAGGCATTAACTCAAATGATGACAGCTTGCAGCAGGGCGTTCAGATATGACAGCATGCAACATCTGTTGTTTTCAAACACATCAAAATCAGGTAGCAACAACAGGCTTATATGGCTACCATGCGAGACCGTTGGAAAAAGCTAATCCATCAGATGGTTTAGAAGTTATGGTGTGTAAACAGCCAAGTGGCATTACACATGCTACTGTCACATTTCCCTGATTTGACTGTCCATGTGATTCTGCGATTGATGTGCAGCAACTCAAACTGGCTGACCAGACTATGGAGAAAGGACAGAGCTGGAAGCATGCAGATTTCGAAAAACTCCACAGAGAACACATCCTTGCAAAACCAGCTGGTCAAACATCACCAAAACGGGATGGCACCTGCATGATGAAGGCATGCGGCCCATAGTCTTTCCCCTTGGTGAAAAGCCGCGCCATCAATATGATGTGTGTCGCCGTCTTTCCAAGGCCGCCAGGCCACCACTTCGTGCTTGTGAGGGTGGGAGAATGCACGATGAACTCCTGCCTGTCAGAATCGTACGTAGCTGTGGTCTCGAGGCCGCGGACAAAAGTGCCATGGCCCAGCTCAGTTTGAGCGTATGTGCCAATTATCTCCAGGCTCTGGGCCTTGGGCAGCCACTTAGCCTGTTGTTCGGGATTGGCATGACTTATGAGGGAAGGGATGAACATCTGCACAGCACACAAGCAGCAGAAATCAGCATCAGTGCCTTTCAGTGATGGGACAGTTGATAAGGAGATTAATGCACAATTGTGCAGGGGATACCATGGTCAGCACATTTTGAGTTCACAGAATTTGCAGAACTGCACTTGCGCACAAACGTTTCTCAAGGCAAGAAGACCAGGAGGCCTGTCCACTAACTGGAGAAAGTCAGACTATGTTCACTCGAAGTTCAGTGGAGGCTTGCAGGTGCCTGTAGGGTATTGAACAAGTGCAGCAAACATTCACACACCGCAAGTTGCTCATGCATACGCATACCTGCACAGGATCATGCATCCACCTGTATTGCATTGTGCAATAAAATAAATACAAACTACATATACTACCATAAAATGTGCTCAGTCTGGACAGAACACTAGTCGGCAGGAACAGCTGCATCTTCTGTTGGTGAGGGCGCCAGCACCAGCCTCAGCTTACCCCAATGTGAAGCTCCAGCCCGCCAGGAGCATTGACCAAGCTCCTCAGAACTCTCCCATCGGATATTCCAAGCCGTTTCTCCTTCATGAAGTCCCTACACAAATTGACAAGAACTCTCATGTGTGTGTGTGGACGAAATGTAAGTAGACTGGTGACCCCACGGCCTACCTGCAACAGACACCTTCAACTATAGACAACCCATCCAGAGGACTGCCATACTCTTCTTTATCAACACTGTACATTCGGATTATGCGATCAATCTTTCATGCTTTTCATCGCCCTTTTGTGAGATGGCAAAACGCCTGCATCTCTTTTGTCGGGACACAGGCAACGCCTGTGATGACTTATCTGCTTGCAATAAACTGAAACATCCAGGGACAATGAGAGCTCCACCAAGACACAAGACACAGCTCACCTATTCCCATCGGCAAATTTCCACCTCAAGCAACGTGTACATGGCTCAAAAGGCTCCAAAGGCAGCGAGGGGAAGGAAAGGATAGAAAGTAGGTTTCTGATTAGCTTCGTATACACACTCACCATATTCCAAAGGCGACCTTGAGGCCGTGAACGTATTGCTCCTCCCGAGTCTGGAAGTATCGCTCAGACTTGTTGCCCCACTCCGTTCTGGATATCAGCTCTGCAAAATGCGCCCTGCAGCACACAATAGGGTGGGGCCAACAGCTGAGAGGGCATTGCCAATGATGGGTGACACCAGACCAGGAACACTACGCTGACTGATCATTTGTTCCTCCTCAGGGGATGACAACGGGCTCATCACTTCGCTGTCAGCAGCTGGCACTGCTGCAACCGTGCAAGCAAGTCTGAAAACTTGTGAATCCAGCCGCCTTTTCCCGCTGCACACTTTGACAACGCATTACTGGAGCAAGGTCACAACCTGCGCGTCTTATGACACCGGGGCCCAGCCACCGACCGGCAAACGACCACAGATGAGCACCCAACCGACAGCACCCTTTGATGGCAATCCAACAGCGAGCCCAACGAGAACTCGGGATTCGCCCTCGGCCGAGGACGAGCACACCCGTCCGCGCAAACAGCTACCCTCATCGCAACGTGCCCCGCATCAATGCCTTTAGAAGCGTCGCCAGCGCCGATCCAGCCCAACCCCGCGCCGGCGCTCGGCCGCCCCCGCACGCTCCCATCAAATCGAAACGCCCGGCCGCTCCATACTTGCGCTCCACCTTCTCCCGCCCGCCGTTCAGGTAGTGCAGCAGCTCCCCCACGTCGAAGGTCGCGCGGGCCCGCTCCGCGGCCAGGTCGGCCTTCGGGTCGCTGCAGTTGGACAGCACGGCCTTGGTGCTCTCCTCCTGCAGCACGCGCGTGCGCGCGTCCACGAAGTGCGCCATCGCGGGCCCCCTGTCCCCCGCGACTGGCCCGCGAAGCCCGCAGCGGTGGGTCAGTTTCGAAAACCGGTCGGCGCCGCCTGAAACCGCCTGTGGGATCGGCGAGGTCCGGTGGGGGGGGGCCGGTGCGAAGAGGGGACGAGGGCGGGGGAGACTGCCGCCAGCAGGGGGGCCTGGGCTTAGCAGGCGGGAGGCTGAGACACGTTGGGCTGACAGGGGCGGCGCTGGCGGCGCGTCGGACGGGCACGGGCACGTGGGTGTGGGTGGGTGCGGCGGGGCCGCGCCACGTGGATGACGAGGCATTAGATGTCCTGTACGTGATGGCGTCGACATGGGCACCTCTTTTGATGTATTGTCATCGACAATCGCTTCTTGGCAATAGGGGTTACGTAACAGATCCACAGGCTTTGTTTGTGTTGACGAAGGCAGGCAGGATCGAGGGGTGGCGATCCCTGAACGTGAATTGTACGCTCGAGTCCACGGCAACGGTTTGCAGCCGAGGCAAGAGGACAACAGGCGGTCTGTCCTTTATATTCAGTCAGTTCATCAACGTCCTTAATGCAATTCCTAGTGCTTCATCATCTTTTCATGCCTTCAGTTATTAATGATACTCAATCAGTTCAATAGTACTCAATCAGCTGCAACAGTGTTACGTTAAATTTCATCAATGAACTGATCATAGACACTACTTTGCTAGGGCGAAATAGGAAGCTGACGGCTACCTCCTTGTCTTGTTATGCCAAACATCGGGGCGATGAATCTTGATGTCTACCTCCCCGCCTGGATATGTAAGATTTTTTGATGATGATGAAGCTCGATCTCGAGCCACTTGAAATTAACGAGTTTTGTGTGGAAAGACGTTGGTGGGCCGTTTGGTAGGCGCCTAGGGCGACACTGAGCCGAATGCGTTTCTGGCTTACCAGTCTCCTGAGCCCACCCAGTCATGTACTACCCCATGACAAAATACTTACACGTTCACCAAAAACCAATGTACTGTAAACTCGAGGTCCCCATACTTCAACTGTGCCCTTCGCTTCGCTAGTACTTAACGCCAATCTGATAGTGGCTCACCCCATGAGTCAGCTCCCTAATGCCGTACTTCACTCCCTTCAGTGCTTCTCCATCCCACAACTAAACCGAACACCACTCTCTAGTGTGGGAGGGGCGGGTGCGGAACAAGATAAGGGGACCGAGGGGGGAGCCTAAATAGCCGCCCCCGCTCCGCCCCGCCAAAGCCCGCCAAATCAAAGGGCGCCAAAAATGGCGGCACCTTGTTTTTCCCGTACTTTGACTGACCCACAGTACTAGGGTGGCCAGAAATCCAAGGGGACGGGGGCTGAGTAAGCCCCAGGTTCAAACTGCCCCATTTGAATCGCTAGCGCAGCCCACCCGTCGTCTCCCTTGACAGAAACCTATTGACAGGATAGTTAATTTCATTTCTGTTTGCCCAGTTCCTCAGCAATTTGGACCCTGTGGTCAACAGGCTGGGCTTGAACGTGGACCAAGGGATCATTGGACTGTTGACACGAGTTTCAAAGAGGCCCAAGACTTGGTGTGATTTTTCGATTTGGGGCATCCTACGCAGCCGAGGGGTGCCCAGTGACCGCCAACCGCCGCGTGTTTTGCACCCAGCTGCCCATCCCTTAAAAGGTTGAGTTCGGTTTGAGGATAGCTATCGCGAAGTGTATGAAAGACTGGGGATTTACTGCTTTGGTGTGCATCATGGAGCTAAGGGCAACATCAGTTTTCAGAACTGAATTTTTGGTGAGCGCCTTTGATAGCAGTGCACTTTGGCGCCGCACCCGTGAGAACAATGCTTTGAGGTAAAACCCTGAATGGACGATGTTCCTGATTCAAGAAGACACGACGGCGAGAGAAAGTGATTAGAGGACAGGTTGTCTTGCACCCGTGCAATGCAGATAGAGGCCAGAACAGCGGCACAAGGGTGTGTTTTGCTGGCACGGTTGGAGGGCGCCACAACGTACGATCCCTCGCCACAACAACAATCCAGTCAGTACATTAGTTGATCGGTGCACGTTTGGTAGCCGCCCAAACGCGCCTGGTACGGAGGGCAAGCCACCTTTGGCCACACACGGTGCGCAACTCCCGGCGGACCGCCCCCCGGGACTCCATACCGCCGACCCTATTAACAGGATCTGCGCGGTACCTGGTATGTGGGCCTGGCGCCTGTGGGTTGGCAATCGGTGCGCATTTGGGAGAGCAATGTCGGCCCCCGCGAATGTTGCACGGCAATCGCACATACACCTCAGCACCACGGAAGCGCGCGTTCCTGCCTAGTCCTTTCGCCGCCGACCCCGGCAGTTCTAAGGTGCCGCGACTGCTTGGAGCAAAGTGGATTGCTTTGGTTGCAACGCCCTCCAAAACCCGTTAGTCACCAACTCTAGGCCCGCTTGATTGCTTCGTGCTCAGGCTCCCTCTTTTGCCAACCGCTTTGCAGCATTGCGGCTCGCACCGTTGACGCGTGCCCCCAATTCACAGGAATTGGGCCTTGACGTAGGCGGGCGGTGCTCATGGCTGCCCCCAGAGCCAGTGGGACCGATCCCTGCAGAGGATGCTGGAGAATTTCAAATCCGCTTTCCCGGGGACCATCTCTTGCCACCGGGAGGCGGACTGCTCCGCCAGGCGGCCCCGGGCGCAGCCTCACGTGCCCATGCTACTGCCGAAGGACATTCCGGGAGAGCAAGAAGAACAAGTCCAAATTTGGGGGGGGATCTGGCTCCCACCATTCCGAAACTCTGGGTGGAGTGCCTTTCAAGGTCACCCTCGCTTGGGGAGACGTTGTCATGATGGCCGCCACCCACCTTGCCAGCGACATGATACCGCTTCCTGACCAGCCAGCCCTAATAACGACATCAGCACTGGCATGGTTCATGGTCGCACTCCTGAAGGGGGATTACGCAGCGGGTGGAGAGAACCAGCCCAGCTCACTCGCCGTGGGCATGGGGCTGGACTTGTTGAACCAGCTGACAAGGGTCATGTTGACGTGGCTGCTGTTTGTGCCCACTGCGTTTGTGTGCTACGGTTGGCTCGTGCCGCAGCACCTTGTTGATGCGACGGTCGTACTGGGCAAGGTCCCAGGCAGGCAGTTGTCGGCTGAGCTGGAGGTTTTGCTGGCGGCCTTGATAACGTTGACTTGCTGGCGAGGAATTTATGCACGGATTCGCTGGAGATAGAGACATGGTATGGATACTGCGCGATTGTTGGGTTATGGATGGGGGTCGGGAAGGTATGAACACATGCAGATGGGGTGAGTTGTGTTGGGCAAATTGAAGTTGAGTTTTTGTGGAGCGAGTGGTTTTGGAGTTTGTGTGTTGTTGGACTTGGAAGTGAGAGAGAAAAGGCAGGGGGTGGGGGTTGGGGTTGAGGAATGCCAAAGATCCATTGGACCAGGAATATAGTTTGAATCCCCTGTACAGCAACAGACATGCAGACTTTAAAGGGTGTCATGTGCCGGACATTCTTGCCTTCATGATTGCTACTAAACACAAAGGGCAGGATCTGCACACATGTTTCACTGGTGATGATTCCTGGCCTTTGTGATATCATCAAATCGGGCTGGGAAATAGCCTACCCTCTCCTCTCACTGGAAACGAACAGCACAGATGCTTTAAGTGTCTTGCTGCTCCGGGCACATCTTGTGGCTACATCCACTCCTGCTACCAACCCTGTTGCCTGCATGCCAAAGCTGAGGACCGTTGTGCCATCTCTCTGGTAGTTCCAACAGCACACTACACACACCACCTGTCCTGCTGAGCATCTTCTTCCACGTTGGCACCCTTGTCACCCCCACCAAGCCCATCTTGCCTTCGTCTGCACTCTATCTCTTGTTGAAGATCAGCAATCATTCGTTCAGCCTGGCAGAGCTCTGCCACAGAATCATCTGCAAATCCAATACCCCCCAACATCCCTTGGGAATCCAATTTTGGGCTTGGCTCCATGCTCCGCTGCGTGACCTGCCAACCGGCATCTTCATTCTGCTCCTCATTGGGGCTAGTCGACAGCGCCGTGGATGACAGCAGCCCGTGGATTCGGGCCAAGTCTTTGTCAACCAAGCCACGCGTTACGAGGGTTCCCAGCAATGCCACAACAGAGGTATGCATCAGGTGCTGCGCAAAGCACAGGCTTGCAAGCAGGCGCTGTTCATCTAGGGCTTTGCGAATAGCCTCCATGAGCCAGCCTGCGATCATGACAGCGGATTCGGAGCCCATTAAGGTACCGAATGCTCTCATGTGTGCGTGCGTCGTGGCGTGCATCCCCGCAAGATCATTTGTTGGCTTTTTCCCAACGCCGGTCGATATTCCATTCCGCAGATTTCAGTAGGCGCATAAATCGTGCTAACCTCACGAAATCGTGTGTCATTGTTGTGACATGTGTGGTAAAGAAACCAACTCTAGCAATCCCGAGCGCGGTGTGTCAGACCATTTGTTTCCCGGCGCAAGCAGTAGTAGGTGTGCAAAAGTCAATAACACAAATGCACTTGGGCACCGTGGCATCCATCAACCAGCAACACTCTAGGTGTGTTTAATCCGTCCGGCTTTGATCTGCGTTTTCGGCACCATTACGTTTAGTGTACGCTCAGTTTCTTACGCATAAAAACATAAAATACACAGAAACGGTGATTTTATTGCACTTTCTACGTATTTTTCGCCACGTCGAGACGTCCAGGTTACATGCTGAATTCGCAGTCAATGATCAGTTCTCCGCCTGCTCGAGCACCCACAGCACAGCGGCCACATCGCCCGTGGAAAGGGCAACAACGTCATCGAACAAAAGTTCGTTCCGTGCCCACTGCAGTGCGTCTGGCTGGCACTCCACGGACTGCCTGAATATGAAGGTACTCTCTTCATTTACACTGGGCCTGTATTTACGCATTTTTGCACGTGTTTACGCGCAAAAAGGCGAATACTATTTGTGCGAGCAAATAAGTAAATACGACCTGTGTCTGGGCCGCAAACAACAAGCCTGAATCCCTCCGCGCCACGTCCATTTTACGCTATTTTTGGCCAGCAGGATGTGCTACAGTTGCTGCCGAATTTGAGCTTCCTCTTGGGCTTCAAAACTGATGCGCATTACTTGGGAGCCCACGGTGTGGGATGAGTCGAGCATGTGTGCAGGCAGGCCACACGGGTCAAAGAAAGGGTATAATTGCAGTGGCACAGCCCTAGTGTAGAAGCTCAGACCAATTGCTCGTAAAGAGAACATGTTTATTTCATTTCCATACAGTAAAAATAGTACAAATTCCTGTGGCTTCATGTTTGCGCCCAAGCCCTTCAATAGGGAACCCTGAGTCACTTTTGTGTGGGTGATGCCATCAGAGTCGCCAAACTCACTAAACCTTGTCGAGGAATGTGAGCACTTTGAGCACGAGTAGCAGCACTCATACATGTATTTGCGGTTTTGTCGCCTGTGCGTGCGGGCAGTATATTATCTGTGGAGTTTACAACTTGAAGCACGAGGTTGATACATGAGAGAGACGCTGCAGATCACCGGTATCAGACCTTCCGGTGCCCCCCTTTGTGTAGATTCATTATACAATGGTCCACATGTCACGAGGACCCCTAAAAAATTATCTTTATGGCCGCATGAAGACATTTGGAAATGTTGTCATGTGCTGATGAATACGGTGCGGCATCGTGTATATGTGTATGCGTATCACTATGCGCATGTGTGTCGTGCACGTGCATGTTCCAGAGCGTGTGCCACAGCTACGGCAGATCGGCAAATGCATCGCCAACCAGCGACCCACTCAGTCCGAAACCGGAGATACGATGCCGAACACGCAGTACCGGACTCTGGACTCACCCCGCGGGGGCGTGGCTTGCAGCAGTGCATCGACGTAGCCGGCACAGGACGCAACCGTCCACGCGTCGATACCCTCAAAGGCCGGAGTCGCTGCTTCGCAGTCCGCGCACGCGGTGCCGCCCTGGTCGCCGGCCTTCTCGCGTCCGCCCGCCGCTCCGTCGATTTTCCCGGGCCAAGGCGCGGCGCCACCGCAGAGGCGACTCAGGGCGTCGCCGATGGCGCGGCGGTGCCACCTGCTGAGCGCGGCAGCGGAGCCTGCGCCGGGTCGAAGGGCGAGGCGGAGCATGGGCGGGAGGCACTGCATGGCGCCCTGCCTGGCGCAGAGTCGTCAGGAGAGTTTTGCATTAAATTGGGGTACTTTTATGCAAAGAGATCGACTTCGCAAGCCGTGGCCCACACAGGCAGAAAAGGCATGTTTGCGATGCCAACTGCGACGCCATTTCGGCACAAAGTGGAACCGTTGCAGAGATTTTGATCACACAAAAGCCGCTGCGATGGCATCAACTTGTGTCAAAATGGCGTCGTGGTTGGCATCGGAAACGGCTCTTTTCTATAGGCGCCATCCGTGGTACTTCCAGAGTGCTTGCACCACCATTTCTCAGCTACTGAAGCCAGCCAATGTATAATACCAATAAAGTCGTCAGGGTAAGACCTGGCTGGATCCAGCGGCGAGGCCTTTTGCATCCGGCGCAAATTCTGAGCGGTTTTGCACGTGGTCCTTTGGGAAAATTTATGCGCTGGCAACGCATCATGCCAAGGCAGGGACACGGTGGAGCTGCAAGGACAAATTCGCCATCATGGGAGACGCCAACTCGCAGCTTGCGAATAGTAACTACTTCTGGAGAGGGAAGGAGGGGAGAGGGGGCTTGTCACAAGCACTCTTGAATCAATGGTTGTTGTGCAAGGGGCGCATGAATTCAAAATGCACATATCAGAACTCATTGAATTTAGAGTCAGCGAATTTCCCACATTTGCCAATTTGGCAAATTCGGCAAACGACAGTTTGCAAAAACTACCGTACACTGAATCGTTTGCGCCGTTGAAAATGACGAGTTGCAATGACAATGCTGATTCCCAAATTTTCCGATGGTTTCTTTGCATGGAATCACAAAATTGCCATTTTAAAATATCCTTTAATGGAAGCATCTGGTCGAAAAGGGATGTAATCTGGATCCTGTGCGTTGCTCAGAATAGTCGTGTTGAGGCTCCAACGTGGACCGACCATGCACCAAATCGGCAGTATGCACTGAAATTCCAAAGGCATTGTAAAACAAACCTGCTCCCCCTTGAGAATATCCAACGCAGATAACGCACCCTGCGACACATACATGGATATTCAACAGCATATGCATGCAATGCAAGGACGCGTGAGGTTCACCTCACCTGACGTCCCCACGTACGCCGTAGGCGCAGTTCAACAGGACCGCCTGTCTGGCGGGCCCGGCGAAGCTCAGTAACGCCTCCTCGTCGACGGCAGCGTAATCAGTCAGCATGTCGACCAGTCGAAATGACAGGCATCGAAGGGCAGCGGCTTGGCAGGCGCCCCGAAGCCCCATGCAGAGGCCCAAGACGGAAGCAGCGTCGAGGTTGCGGGCGAGAAAATCCCAGATGGAGTTCTTCAGGGGATTTTGGGCTGGAAGGGCCGCGATCGCGGCGCGGAGAAGGACGTGGAGGTGAAGCCATGCTGTCAACTGCGGCGAATAATGAATCCAAACGGTTTTCATTATATAACAGAACGAAGATATATGAAAATATTGACAGGATGTATTACAAAAATGTTGCATTCGAAATATGGTGTTTGCTGCGTTCTGCGCAAACATTCACTTCCACTGTTTCACTCAATGTTTTGTCGATGAGTGAAATTGTGAAACCATATGCTGGCTTTTACGTCTAGTTCAAATCAAGATCACTGGGAAAAAAGGGCCAAATAGCGCGTGTTCTAATGTGTACAAAGTTTACGGGTTTGTGTCATTTTTGTGTTCTTAGCGTGCAGAGCTTTGATGGAACGTGTTTTATGTGTGTTCGCAAAAGTGTTATTTGGTCCTTTTCCCCTAGTGGATTCCACTACAATATAAAACCACTATAAATGTATGGTAAATTTGGCAACTGACCATATGATTGTAGCATATTTGCACTACAAGGTACTGCCATATGTTGCATCGGACAATGAGAGTGGAATATTTGCAGAACACACAATTAGAAATGAATCGGCACACCATTTTGTCTCTGTCGACGCATAAAGAGTTTTGGCACACTTCAGAGTCAGAGATATTCTGTTGTTCGTCTACGCTGCCATCGCCTTCGTCTGCGAGGATTTCGCGATGGCAGCCACTGTCGGTCCCTCTTCCCTCCGCTTTCTGGGCAGCCACTG